CGTATTCCAGTACATAAGTTGCCCGCATCACATCCGTTATGCCCCACAAGCGCACTGCAAGTGTTGTTGGCAAAACTGCCATCATTTTCACAAAGTGCTCTATTTTCTTACGCGCACCATAATTTGGTTGTTCCTTTGTCGGCTAACAGGTTCAACGCCTTACTACGGTCAACATTACACCATGCCGGCCTATCAGCAGCCCATGTATCAACACATTCCTTTAGGCGTGGTGCAGCAACATATGCCCACTCCCTGGATGTTCCAACCGACGTATTGAAAGCGCAAGGAAACTGGAGGAGCCGTTGTTTTGAACGCTACGTATCGCGGGACTACGACTTGCGGCTACAGTACTCCACAATTCTATCGCGACACCTTTCCTAATTGACTCGGATGGTTACTTTCTCGTTCCCCGTTCCTTGGTTTGTTTTTTACTTTGTTCTGGGCGTTTTGGAGGTTTTCGGTTGCACCCTCGGTACAACCGTCCTGTTTTTGTTTGGTTTTTGTTGGTATTTCATATGCTCAGAAATAAATGCCGAACGAGAGGAAACACTGTTGTTGTTTGCTGCGTACGTGATACAATAATGGTCTAAGGTTACTGCGTAACCTGTGCGATTATTGGCAGCGTGTTAGCCATTGGTCACTTCATGGGGAAGCGGAATGCAACACCGCCCCGAAGGAGACCGTATAAACAGCTGTCCCGGGAAGCTTTATCCTCAACAGCTCTTTTAGTTTTAGTTTTTCGCTGCCAAGGTTCAACTAGTCTTTGGACATTGATACCGCAGCGAATCGTGTTAGCTTTTTGATCTTCCCACCGTCCCTCCTTTACCAGATTCAATTGAGAGGTTTTCGGTTGCACCCGCGGTACAACCGTCCTGTTTTTGTTTGGTTTTTGTTGGTATTTCATATTCTCAGAAATAAATGCCGAACGAGAGGAAACACTTGTTGTTTGCTGCGTACGCGATACAATAATAGAGATGGTTGTTTCGGACAGTCGCTGGCTTGTGACCAACAACTTCGGCCCTCGGCCGCGCAAGCAGCCAGGTTCAGGCACCTCTCTGTGAATTGTCTTCCACTACCGCTCTGGAGCTATCGTCGAACCCTGTTATATGGTCCATGCGCTGATGTTGTGTGGTCTTCTGTTAAAAACTTTATAAATTCACAGAATTTCAAAAGAAAAAAAAGAAAATAACTCGGTGCCACAGTAAAATTTGGCCAAAAAGATGGCGGTGCCACAGTAAAATTTGTTTTCGAAAATGCAAAGTGCCGGATTTCAAGTAATCACAGGATTAACCTTATCACTAAAGTTGTAATTGGACTGGTAAGGCGTTGTACATTGCTATGGCTGCTTTCAAAACCATATAAATCCAAGCTGTTCTTTGTCCCATTCACCGTGATCCTCCCACTTTAGAGTCACCGGAGAGTGGCAGTTCAAGTGAACAGTTTCGCGCTTTGCTTCTGCCCACGTTTTGTTTTGAAATTTTTTGAAATTCGAAATAGTTCCCACATTGCCGCATCCCGGAATGATGAAATTTATTTGCGCGCTATATATTCAGTTACAGTTTGATTTAATAGCTTGTTTAGCATGCTTTTTCCTGTTCGAAATCTAACAAAACAAAGTAATTTTTTTATTTGTGTTGGGAAGCTCGGTTTTTAAAAAAAGTTTGGGAATGTTGTTTTGGTAAGCTGTTCCTTTTATATGAAAATAAAAAAAAATATCGCTTTCTGTTCCCAAAAGTTTTTCGCGTAGTCTTGGCTGTGCTAGCAAAAAGTGTTTTAATACGCCATTTTGAAAACTGTATAGTTCTCTGTACAGTCCCCATAAATAAAACTCAGTTGGTTACTTCACTGTTCTTTGCCTCGCCATATTTTCTAAGTCCACTATTTCCCAGCTTTTTAACCTGGTCGATGATATTAGCAGCTCTGAATTCCCAGCTTTTGCCCTGTTCGGTGTCTTTTACATTTACTGCCCGGCGCCCGGTCAAGCCAGCGTTTGGTTGTATCGTTACTGTGTGTGTGTGTTACCGCTCTTTCTCTCTCTCTCTCTATGTCTTCTTATGGCAACTATTCGGTTATAACGCATGCATATGATGTCTTCTATTTATGCTGGCTGCATCATAATTTTGCAAATTTGAATACATAGCAATAAACATGTCACAAACTACGTTTTACTAATGTTGTTTTTGAGGAATATTTGCAGTGAATAGTTAATTTAACCAAGTCACAGAAACTCCACCTCGAGTGCAACGCTTTCCCTACCATGGATCTGTCATCCACGACCGCATCATGTCACCGGAAAGTGCCAGCGAAGATTGTGTCCCAACCGATACCAGTTATAGCTATGGACTCTGGATCCTGGACAACTGGACACCGTCGAGTGCAGTACTTTTTATAATTAATATCTTTGCCTGCCACTTCTTTGTTGTAATTGCTACGTGTTGTACAACCAAAAAAATCTGCCAGTATTTTCTCTTTTGTGCTGATGTTACGATATTTCTGATATTTCTTTCAATATTGACTTTTGCATTAGTGGTCCGATTCCTGCTTTTCGGTAAAAACGGAGTTTTTCCCGTCTGAGAAGGGGGAAATGTGAAGGGAATCGTCCCTCCCCTTGAATTGTATGATATGCCTCTATGTATGTTCCAGTATCTCTGTTTCCGCCCCTTATTTGGGAGTATATATAGCGATGATGTCCACGAGTTCCAAGACAGAGTGTTAGTGTTTCAGTTCTGGTCGAGTATTAAAGTCGTTTGCCGAGTATTATATTTTCCCCCGCCGTTCCTCGCCACACGCGTATATTCGGTTGCCACGACTGGAGCCGGCGTCGTATTAGACGTCTGCTGGGTTGTGGCTGACCGGTTGCAGACGACCCCAAAGATTGCGTCACGACTGCACTAATCTGCTTCTTCCTGTTGACCTTTGCTCCAATAAACAGACCGATATACAAGCCGCACGTCACCAAAAGAGGAAAGAACACTCCGAACACCGAAATAATCATGAAATCCGGATCATTAGTTTCTACATCACACGTCTTGGCTTTGGGGTTGAAAACAAACCCTCGTTGTGTGATGCGGAATTTCATCGGAGGGCATGCGGCAACTATCCAGGGAAACAGGAGCTGTACGGCAATCGCAGGTTTTGTTATCCAGAAGCGGTATTTAAAGGGCGAGATAACCGCGATGAAACGGTTAAGCGCTAAAATCGACAGTCAATACCATGCAGCTCCGTACGTTAGAAGGTTACCATAATAAAAACTGCTGCAAAATTCATTTGTAACAGTGACCAGCGTTGGGTGAATAAGCGGTAACAGGACGTAATTCATCGGCCAGTAGAATAATGTAATTAAACATTCTGTGATTAGTTGATGCAAAATTAAAATACGGGAACCGGTAAGATTTTCTCGGTGTTTAACCATAACAGTCATTAAAAACGTAGCCGCAGTTAGGAAAATTACGTACAGTAAACAACGGCGACAGTCCAGTTGAATGCTGTTCTGCCTTTTATCAGACCCGTCACTGATGTTCCATTAAACATCGAGGCATTAAAATGTTGAGCAAAGGTAAGATTATCCATAATGAACGATTTAACAGGAAAGAAAATGCTGTTTAATAATTAAAGTGCATGCGTTACCTGCATCTTACTGATCCCAAACTGAGTTTGCCGCTCGGTTTAAAACCACCAGGGAAAATTACATAAATCATCTGACCGGAAGCTGGATGAGAGCAGGAACGGCTGTTTCCTTTAATTATTACTTTTACGAGTATCAGTTTTTGAGTGATTCCACTTCCAGGTGTTGCATTCCAAGAAAGACACTATACGGTTGTTCATGACTTTACGGAATCACTTTAATTTGCACAGGAAACCCCCAGGTGGAGTAAGGTCAAAATTAATGATGTTGGCCGGTTCAAAGACATTAGCTTTTAGTAGCGCAATTTATCTGTCTCTCATAATGCTGTTGCTGCGTTGCATCTTTGAGGTCGGCGCTGAAAATGCTTTGTCGGAATACGAAATCTTGTGATTTTGCTTCCTGGCTAAACGAAGTACATTAGCTGTAGTAAGGAGCTGTTTTGTAAAAACAACTACGTACCGTACTACGGTCTCAGATTTCTGCATAAAGGATAAATAGATCATTAACATCCTTGCACTGATGACTGAAGTACAGTGAATGTAGTAACTGCAAGGTACAATCCAGTTGGAATCGTCGAGACCGACAGCTTGTGGTACACGCATCAAAACGAATATCCTTGAATTAAAATGGTACTAGTACGTATTTCGGATAAAACTCGTAGTATGCTAATTTCTGTACCATGCTTACTTATTTGACTAGGTACTGCTGCCACGCACAACCGACTAAAATAACAAAGAGACCACAAGTAGACCCCCTGCTATAGCAGTATAGCACATCTGAAAAATTGGTATCAAAACTCCGAGAAGTTTGATAACAGTAAACGTTGGGTGTTAATTACGTTATTATTTTATGTTTACATTAATTACGATCTCCGTATAATTTACCCTACTGGGATGGGAGCCCATCGAGCAGCATTATTGCACGAATAGCACATTATTGCACAGTAAAAGCGAGCGCATTTGCCTATTTACAGAGCTGTTGACTCCACCACAACCCAGTGCTCAAGACAGCTAGGTTAGGTCGAGATTTATTGGGTTATAGACTACTCGTATAGTTATACGCTAAGAACAACAGGCTAAGAAAAAGATTCCTTAGCAGGATATTACGGAGACGAATGGCTCATTAAATGGGCCAATATGACATAAAGGACATTTTTTCAATTATGCCCAGGCGCGGTCAGTGAACGCTGTAGCCAAAGTCATTGAATAGCCCATTAGGACACGTCTATCTAATGACGTGGCTGTAGCATTATACGAGTGCCAAATGAAACTCAAAAGAGATAGTGAAATCAGTTCATCGTTGTAATTGTACGCCAAATAACCATTTGATTTTTCGATTGGTGTTTAAGGGTATTTGCGGACTGATTACGTCTGAAATGGCTCTGAATGCATATTTCAGCCGTCAGCGCCGCATCAGTCAGTTCAACCTGGGCAACACAGTGCTGGTCAGCGGCATCAACAACGACGACTTTTATCTGGGATTCCTGCAGGATATTAAAGGCGACCGCTTTTTCATTGATTTCGATTCAAGCCAGCAGCCGGCGCAGTGGGTGCCTATCAACCGCATATGGCACCACGCGCGAAGTAGCATTCTGATGATTAGCGATCCACGAGATGTCTACGTGGCTGTACGCCAGGAAGACGGCGGACCGTACACTTTTCGACCAGCTAAACTTCTGCGTAGCTTTAGTCATGAGAGCCAATGGCTGTGCTGCGTCAGTGTTGGTTCTCACTGTGGTACTTCATCCACAGGGAACGAGCAATCCGATCTGCAGGTTGTGCATGCCTGGCAGCTGATTCACCGCCTGCCGAGCAATCGTCGTGTGGAGAGAATCTGCCAGCTGCCCTTTAAAAAAGTGGTATTCCGTTCCAGCCGAGTGAATTCTGCACTTAGCGGGATTCAAGAACAGAATATTGTCGATATGCTGCATTTGGAATTTCGTGATGGCTATATACCGTTGGTCGAGTACTGGGATAGATTATTCGTCCGTATCAGGGAAGAAGAAATTGTGTTTTTAATTATGCGGATTCAATGTCGCCATTTAAAATCGGTACCGTGTTCATTTGGAAATTGCTGGAGTTCACGAACTACTAAGAAGATATCGCAGGGTATCGAAAAGTACATTTTAGCATACCGCTCCCAACCGCATTTTTACATTTCCTGTCCGAATTTTGTTCGAGGTGAGAACGTAAGAATGATGTGTGATCAAGCCTTTTTCGGTTTAGAGTAACAGCGAACTGCCGTGTGGTAGCTGCCGCACTTCTTGTTATTTTACATAGCAGTTTCAGTTCGTATTAAAAGGCTCCGTGTTATACGGCTTCAATCTTCATCGCTGTAATGTTATTCCAAACTGTATGTTATAAAAATGGACATTGGACAGCAGAGTCCCGAAACCAGGAATTCAATCCTAGTAACCAATTAATAGTTATTACTTAGATACTACGAAGTTTTTGTCAATGATGAGCGCCATAAATGATTCGGCACCTTTGTTGCAGACAACGACTTGATGCTCGGCGCGGTACTACAGGAAATTCTTTCCATGGTTCTCCAGTATCTGGACATCATCACACAAGGAAAAAGTAAACGGTAGATATTACAAAACAAAATTTCTCTGTATTATCTGGAAGCGAAAAAGATTACGCGTTCGACTTCATGTTTTTTGCAGAGTTTGTGCATTGTGGAACGCTATACTGGGAGACCCGGCCTCAGCGCCCTACGTTACTATGGACTGGGCCGCCTTTAGTTCCCAGCAGCCACAACGTTCCGAAACAGAAGGCTACCGCCTCGGAATGCTACTGCACCGCGTCGTCAGCAAGAGCACCAAAACACTGGCACTTATCAATATGCAGCACCGCGCAGACACCTTGAGCCAAGCCGTTTCGGTCGTCGTCGAACTGCTGCGTCTGAAGCCCATAATTCCAATTATTATTGTGAAGAACCCCCGCGCCGGCATCGAGAGGGTGCCAATAGCGGGGATAATCAACTGGAGCCGTCCAGAGCTGGCAAAAATCCGCTTCCAGCTGCTGCCATTGAAAGCTGTATGTCAGCGGTTGCTAGTGAGCAACTTCACGGTATGCTTCTCTCACATTCTTCTACCGAAGTTTTATCCCGAAATGCCTAAGTACTGCAGCCAGAAGCCCCGAAACCTTAAGCTGTTCATAAAGATTCCAATTATGAGATTTCGCAAAGACGAGTGGGACGACGGATGGACACAACAGTACAAAGCCGAACTCAATCGCCATTGTCCGCCGGTTACCTCGGCTATCGTCGATAAACTTCGACGTCGGCATATGCGCTGGCTAGGAAGTGTTCCTTATCCCGGCAAGAAATGGGCCGCACTACGGATGTTTCTTGAATTGTAAGCGTGGCAACTACTATTTGCTAGCCAGCCTTTAACAGTGATCTGTCTGTATTGCAGCTACGGAGAGTGTCCGACAGCCGATATTGTTACATACTGGCGCGACTTGGATTTGAGAAACTTTGAAAATATCTCTCGCTGTAATTTGGCTCCGATGATGCTCGCCTATCATTATATTTCTTCCTTTGATTCATAAATGAATCTGCCACTTTGATTCACTACAACAGTTATCTCGAAATACAATCTTCCCGTTTTATGCAATGTATAACCACAGCGAGCTTAGAAATTAACTGTCTTTATTAAACACCACTGTGTGACAGAGATCATTAATTCTTTGACGTGACAAACTTAATTAGTTTTAAGGATTAGACTGGATTTGTTAGAAGCTCATGATATGAAGTGACAAGGTACGATTTCGATGTATCTGGTAGAATCTGGAATTCAACTTGTACTGTATCTGTAGGCCAACAAAAGATACAGGGTATCATCGGCAGCCTGCAGCTCTGAATATCTTTCTTGCCAGCGCTTTCGCATCTTGATTTGTAATGGTAATGATGACCTGAAAATCACGTCCATTATCAACAGCAGTAGGAGTCTACGTAGTACGTAAACATAGGGAAATGTGTTTTACCGGTGTCGAGAGGTATCCAACATAAAAAAGCAGGAGTATCCACTGCCTCACGTATGGATATCGGTCTTGACCTTCTGGAACCGCCGCCAAGAATACCGGATCCGAAGCAAAGCCCACCAGGTGAATAACGGAAACGACAAACAATCCTTTGGCAAGATTCAACCGTCGCTTACTTTTCCTAAAGTTCTCTACCACAACGGCATTACTGTGCATTGTCGTACGCGACTTGTGATCACTGATCGATCCGGAGGCTTGTGGAATCAAACCGACCGTCTGACGCTTTCTGTTAATCCTGAACCCAATAAATAATCCCACGTAGAATACACAACTTAGCAGAAGAGGCAAGAATAAACCGAACACGGAAGTGATTTGGAATGCTTCGTCATCCGTCTTAATATCGCAGATGCGACTCTTTGCACTGAAGGGAAATCCGCCTTTCATCAGATAGAATCGGATAACCACGACAATGCCCATTGCCCATGGGATGATCATCTGGATGGCGATCAGCGGCTTCGTGATCCAGTATTGGTATTTGAAGGGCCATACAACGGCCACGAAGCGGTTCAGCGCTAGAACAGCGAGACCATACCATGTAGCACCTAACGTAACGGCGAAACCGTACTGGAAATGATGGCAAAACTTATCGGTGATCGTCACAAAACTCGGATGCAGCACCGGGAGAAGGACATAGTTGACGGGCCAGTAAAAAAGCGTGATCTGTGATTCGGTGATCAGTTGATGCAGGATTAGAATGCGCGAGCCTGTCAGATGATCACGATGTCTAATGAAGACGGTGAGCAAAAATACCAGCGATAAAAAGAAGATTACGTAAAAGAACGCCACAGTCCCGCAAAATGGCACAATATTGTAAAGCACACTTTGCGAGACATTAAACCGTGTAATATTTAAAGAAATGTTTGGCGTCAAACCGGTCATGATGATAGTCATCGGCGTAGAGAAAAAAACACGAGACAAGCTCGAACCAAGTAATTAAAGTTATATTAAAAGAGGCTGATCATAACTAATAACGCATAGCAAATGCCAATAATAATATTATCAGGGATAACATGGATAATAACACATCAACACCAGCCGTTAACCGTTTCATTAACTTGTTCTTAGAGTGGATACTCATTCGCGCAACTGCTGTGTATTAAATCCACCTTGTAAAAGGTTGACTACTGTACATCGGCGAAAATGGGCTTTGGAGGAACTGAAGTCATTTTCATTTCCGGGTGAATCTGGGTATATAGAAGGGTTCCCATAGGTAACGAAAACAGTTCTAGGTTTCACGGTCAATGGGCTGCTACCTTTAGAGACTGTAGTGTGAGTCTTGTTTACTAAACCAACCTAGCCACAGGTTCGAGCTGCTTTTTTATCCGGTAATGGATACAAGTACTTTTATTTCTGCTCACGAACGCTACGTCTCCCGTGTCAACCATTACCTCTTGTGTTTTCCTGGCATACTCGCGCAGACATTAGGTATTTGTAATTTGTAAACGCCAGATGGTAACCGGAGGCATTTCCGTTAACTTCTAATGATTACAATGTTGTCCGGGCATCCGGATAGCTGTATGCATTAATGTATGGCAAGCCCGAGTGGTCAAAAGCAAACTGTTTTTTAAGGATTTAGGAGAACTCTTCAATAGCCTTTAGTTTGAGATCTTGATGAACGATTTTGTCAATTCATTAAAGTGTTTCCTTAATGCGCAAGATTCTTTAATCTCTTTTTGAAACTTAACTTTCGTTTCCCACTAAGTTTGCTGGAAATTGTTTAGTCTTTTGTTTTAACTAACCCGGGTCACAGTTGAAACTTTTATGTACACTCTGTGTTAAACTAAAACTAAGCTTCAAAAACTTTTCAAACTGTATCGATGAATTTCAGTCGAAACTTTAGTTTCAAGTGATCTCACAACTATAACTACAGTTGTCAAAAATCGTGAAGCTTGCAAAGTTATGGGGGGGAGTTGTCAGACTTGTCACACATACTATAAGGATGATGATACTATAAGGAAGGAGCCCCGTATACCGGATAACCCTAAAGCTAAGAAGCCTGGACGCTAACAGGCGTGGGGACTTGGAGGGTCGGAGGCCGGGAGGGTGGGAGGCCGGGAGGGTGGGAGGCCGGGAGGGTGGGAGGCCGGGAGGGTGGGAGGCCGGGAGGGTGGGAGGCCGGGAGGGTGGGAGGCCGGGAGGGTGGGAGGCCGATGGATATTAATATTTCGCCGTTTGTGCTTTCAGATTTTCCATCTGTGGTGTCAATGCTGACGTGTTGTTAGTTTTTAGTTATAATTTTTATTTACGCTGGGATTTTTGTTATAGGGTTTGATCCGTTTTGACCGCATCGTAAAAATGAACTGATAAACCGAAACAATTCCTAAAATAATTCTAATTGAAAAAAGAGATTTCTTTTTCGTTGTATTTTAATGTCGTCAAAATATTATGGGAAGTAAGTTATGGCCTTCCAAAGTCGCTGGCATTTTTCGCTAATGCCATTATTCTATAGTTTTGTGAGGGCGAGAAACTCGGAAGATCACCGCGAGCATGTACGATTATTTGCTATTTGGTACCGAATGAGCCGGTTCACTTCCCACAGTCATGTTTTGAAATTATGTCAGCCCGCTGCTTCGAATGTACTGGATCAATCTGAACAGGGAGTTCAGCCATCTGCCGCATAGATTTGTGGGAAAGGAGCACGTGTGCATGACTACGTATGTGTGTGTTTGTTGCGTGTGGGCGTTTGAAATAGTGGAAGACAACGTAGTGCAGTGGGTAAAAAACTAAAATATAAAGCTAATCTGCCTACCAAATGCCAGTTACAAAAATAAGTATGAAAGCATTAAAATATGAAATTTTTAACACAACTGGCGCCATATTTTATTTAAAAATTACAAAAAAAATGGTCTTATTTATAATTTTTTGCATGAAAGATTTAATAATTAAAAAAACGAAATGGCTGTGCGCCCCGACAAACCGGGCGCATAGATTTTAGCTGTGCGCCCCGAGTGCTCGGGCGCACAGAATTCGGCTTTGCGCCCCGAATGTCCGGGCGCAGAAAAATCGAAATTTTTATGTTTTTCCGGCAACTGATTGATTTTTTACTCGATTAACCCATTTCCCGTTTTATCGCATGGTTTATTGAAAAGCTTACTCAAAACATCACGGAAATCAAACTGAGAGATCCTGATTTTCAGCAACTTTACAGCAAGTACGCGAAAGCGAAAGATTTCGTGTATGTACACGAGAAGATATGCCGCTAGACTAGCGGCATATCTTCTTACACGAATATGGCACCATGTACCGGGCCACTTCCTTTAACGTAGCGGAGGTAGTCGCAAGGCTGGACGACTTGGATGACCAGTGTCAAGCCGAGAAAAGCCATTAGGGTGTGTCGTTGGGATGTTCATCCCGATAATCGGGGAGAAATGCAACTCTGACTGACAATGTCGCATACCGATTGCACATTTGTGTTTAGTTCATTTTAGCTGCTATTGTGTCCACTGCAGTAAATCAACTTTAGTATCAGTTAAGATTATTTTCATGTACTAGTACCTTGTAGTTGCCCCCCCCCCCACATTCCACATTCTTTTGAGAGGAGACTGGGGGTTGGCTTTAGCAAGGACGACGGAGTCAGTTGCACCGGTGACGCGTGTTCCGGTGCTAGTGTCTTCATCCAGTGCTCAGATAAATCTTAATAATTACGCATCGTCGCTGTTGTTGACGTAGTCCGCGTTAAAGCCAATAAATTTACAGGTTGAGGTATATGTAAGCTGCCCTGTTTATGACAACTCAACAGAAAAATGGAGTTGTTAAATAAATACAATAAAAGAAGCCAAATACAGCATAAAAAACCTTCGGAAAAACAGCAAATCGCCGATATTTCTGCGCCCGGACATTCGGGGCGCGAAGCCAAATTCTGTGCGCCCGGACATCGGGGCGCATAGCTAAATTCTATGCGCCCGGTTTGTCGGGGCGCATAGCAGTCACCTTAAAAAAAATAGGTAGCTAATAATTTCTCGTGTGGGGAATTCATGAGCGGATTCTTGGTTTGTGTATAACTAACGGCTGGAATGAGGAGTGCGTTACAGAGGAGAAAGGTCACGCCTGCTTCCATGCAAGGACACTCCAGCGCTCACCACACGCAAGTTCATGGACTAAATATTCTATCCGATGTTTACGAGATTGCGTTCCACATTTTCATTGTGATATTTCTGTATTACAAAGAGAAAACCCTAATCAAAGCTTGAATCCGATTTTGATGCTTCGTATGTAATGGTAGACGGTGCGGTAATTTGACTGCGCCTGTATATACTGCATAATCTATCCACATCCGCTTTAAAAGATACGTGCTTTGCGTCGTAATATATCTGCGGCACAAGGAAATAATGTCAAATAGGGCACAAGTTTAATAATGTAGACCACTGCCTCACCAGGACGCCGGTCTCTGTCGAGATGGTAGCCCAGGTTGATCCATGAAAATAAACATATCCTAGGTGCTACATAATGTGCTGCATATTAAACATATCCCCGTCATACAAAACCGGATCATTCGGATATGAGGTCTTATTCCGGAAAAGAGGTATAAAACCTCTTTCAGACACAGTTTCGAAGCAAAAATTCACTACAAAATAACTGACAGTTAGTCTGAAATTTCACTAACGAATGTCAATTTAACGCAGATAGTTTGGTACAATATAAACCATCATACTACAAACTCAATCCGTATGATTATGGTATTTATACCGCGTGTATCGTCAGTTACGATTGAACAATTTAAGCCAAATGAGCCGATAAAATGTTATGCCCGTTGCAACATTTAAAAAACTAACCAGCAATAATTATTTTTTAAAAATATATCAGTTAAACAATTTACTCTACCATAATCCCAAGTTTATATATAGTGATCGCAGCTATAACAACAAACGCTCACTAAAAGCCTGTATGGTTGGTTACCGGCATTTTCGCTGCTGAGCAGCAATTCGGGGGCACACGTGTCCTCACCTGGAAATGCGCGTACAGCCGCTTCAGTATTTTCCCATCCTGCCACTCCCCTGCCTGGCCAACGCGCCCTCGTTGGCTTCCGGCGACTGCGATTGGCCCCGCCCTCCATAGTTGACCCGTCACTTCACCGCCTCCCGGTTCTGCCAGGCCAGCGAGCTTCGGTGCGCACATGGATGCTGCCGCCCACTCCCGTTTGTTTACCGGGCTGATGAAGTTGTATTTCTGCGGTGGTGGGTTCAACAGAAGCCGGTACACAAGCCGAAATCGATCAGTTTGAGGTGGCCGTGCCGCTCGATCGAGCCACCTCAAACTGACTTCAAACATCTTCATCGATGAGGATGTTGGCGGGCTTGATGTCGCGCTGAATGAAACCGCGATGGCTTGGATGCTGCCAATGGCGCATACCTGGACAAAAAATCAACGTTAACGGGTTATTTTGTATGTCAAAAAGTTGCGAATATGCCTCAATACGGAATCGTTTATAGATCGGTTAAAAAGACATTTAAAACTAAACAAGAGAAATTCAAATTGAAAAATTTAATTAAACAAACATACTCACTCTGTAAATAGCTTTATTCTGGAAAATCCACAACACATGATAATAGGCCACCGCTGATAGACACTACATGTACCGTATCTAATACACGATGTAACCATTTTGCTACATATATGCAAGTACAACACTATTCATGTTTGTGAATTTTTTTAGACCGGATCCGGACCTCATGCGCCCTCAGCCTATACCGGGCGGTGATCCTGGCAACAGTTCATGCAACATTTTCATCTGGTGGATACTGTATGCAAATCCTCCAACGTTCTTAATACGTTGAAGAATTTGCCAGGAGTTTCGTCCGAAATTGACTTTTATGTTGCCGCATGCAGTGTTTGTTTTGAACGAAATAACAATGCAAATAGATCGTTCGGTAACACTTTTTGTTAACCTTAATTACCGGCTCTGTTACCGTAATCTGTATGCCACGTGAATGATACAACACGCATTCAATCACTGTCTTGCTAAATAAACTAGTACTGTATTTTAACGGTTTTCTGGACGTTGTTGTCCTGCAAATAGAGGAATGCAAATCCTCTGCCAATGTTGTCAATTCTACATTGCGATACACCCCCAGCGAAGTTCCCAACAAATACCTCATTACTTCGAAAAAAAACCGACTGAATCTAAAAATCCTTCTCAGCAGTTTCAAGTTTTTAACTATATTACGTGTACCGTATTTTATGCAAAAGATTCTTCTGAAATTGCACGGAAAAAACGTGTCCTGTTAAGTACTTGGTTCCGAATTTAGGTTAGTACTTATCGCCGGCATCTGTAATTGTTCTTCTGCAACGCTTTCGATAATGTTTATTTTAATTCGGCCCCTGGTTCAGGGACGACAGTTCAAAAGTTTTAACGTAAAACAGAAGTACAACTAACATCCTTCGGTGAATATACTCTATAACGTGTAGAACGTAAATGCGACGAACAGCACAGGTTTTCAAAAAACAGACCACAGAATTTTCTAAGTACGCTGATTAAGTTCCATTCAGAAAATTTTCGTAAAACTATCGATGTAATTGTAATGCAATAAACCAGCGAAGCAGACAAATTTTAGGAAAGTGAAGTCATCTTTATTGCGAGAATAATTTGAATGAAAGTGTCAACGTTCTATAGAGGACTTCTATGACGACGATGACGATATGGATAACGTCAAGCTTTTCAAGCCCCAGACGCTGCAGTAACTTCCATCTTCTGCGTGACAGCCATACACTTAGGAATGCTCGGTACCCGAGGAGTCGTGCTGAAATAAAAAACGCATCAACAGAATGATATATTATGATTTTTAATTTGTAAAGCAAATAACGGTTACAGTGTCGGTGACGCCCGTACGTAAGGTGGTTCAACATACTATAAGAGCAATCTCGCTTTTCGACCTAGCTTACTTTACATACTGCCGGCTGATTTGTTCTGACGATCGAAAAGCAGATATATAGATATTATAACTAAATTAAGCCGTGTGCATCTGGCAGTTATTAGGTCCGTACAATTGCAATTATCGCACCTTCTTCGCGGCAACTGTCAGTTAAAACGAGGTGTGCTACTGTATAGAAAGGTGGCCGAAGTTTTTGCGTTTTTAAAAATTTTGGAGCAGTTGCGGTTGCATCAATAATTACAGCATTTAAAAGAATCAAGTGAAGTTTATTGTCCTTGCAATGGAGCGGTTGCCCCCTCTAGGCTTCAGACAGGAGAAAGAAAGCAGTACTCGTATAGCAATAACATCGAGAAATATTAACAGTAAACACGAAAGTCATTACGCAATGCAAAACAAGCAGGAAACAAAATTTGCAGAGAATAATTATCAGCAGTTATCACATGAATAGGAAGAAAGGAAGTCAGTACTTTCGTTACGGTTACGAACAGTTGGTTTACCTATGTGGAAAAAGGGAGGGAGAAGATTGCGCTTGGGTCGATGCATGAAACCAAAGCCCACATACTTAAATTATTTAGTTTCCAAAAATTTTCAATAATAAAGATTTCTGGAAACTAAATAACTTAAGTATGTGGGTTAAAATAATAACTTAAGTAAAGTATCAGACATTTTTTAGACCAAAAGAAGATATTAAGGATTTTGTGCTTGATAACCAAGAAGATATGGGTTTCTGCAAACAGTCAAACCGCAGAATAAGTAAGCAAAAAATAGGGTGTAATAACGAAAAAGAAAAGACAGACTTCTTCGTTAAAACGCTTGTACGCAAATGAATGCTTAATAGCATCTCGGTAAACATCTATTGCTCAAATTCAATTTGATATCAGTTAACCATCACTTGTTTGTGTAATAAGCGGGCTTGATGAAATCTAACGATCTAAGACTTATTGAATGTGAATATAGCTTACTTTAACTTGCAAAACGTGCATCAGTGCGCGGCAAAGCCTGGATCAGTAACCATCTATCTGTGGCCAACGGCATGAATCCAGCAGTATCAAATATCGTATAACTGCGAATTCCTTTACTAATCACAAATCCACATTTCCCTCCAAGAAATGAAAAGATTTTCGTGAAATTGAGCCTATTCACTGTTTCATTTGTTAACCGTAATATTAAGCAAATGCAGCTGCATAAAACTGCAGATTATGCAGTTTCCACTGCAATTATTTTCATCATATCAATTATAACTTCTGTCTTGCTTGCTTGATTGTTTGTTTGCTCGATGAATTTGTGGATTTCCTAAAATTCCAGATTTCTTAAACAGCACAATGGAGTTATTCAGCGATAGCATTGTGCTTGCTGTCTTATTAGCACAACGCATAATGATGCAGATCCTTTTATATAAATAAAGCAAATGTAGTGGACGTAAGTTAAAAATGTACTGGTATCGAATTCAGCGTAAATCATATCGGTACAAAGATGGATTTATTATCATTTATCAGACTACCTTTGTGATGGTAAAAATTGATTTAAAGTACAGTAACTTTTGTGGCGGTTACCATTCCAATGCGATAAACCTAAAAACTGCCTGCCCTGTTCTTGCTACAAAACGCAGGTCAATTTCACCACGATTCCGAAATTGTTTATAACTTTTAATTGGATTTGATTTCTTTCAAAAAGGTTGCAATTGTCGTTTAAAATCAGCAGTGCAAAACAAGTAAAAAATTAGCCTAGCCAAAATCTTTACAATAACTGAAACCAGAAAATGTCATTTAGCAAAAAAGAATGGGGCGTGACAACAAACTGCAAAACGAAAAACAGCATCGAAACTTGAGCAGTTTCCCTGACAAAGCAGTTATGGTAACGTAACTGAGCGAACCAAAACAAAAACGATGAGGTGTTCTGTGAACTAAAAAAATAATGTAAAAAAACCCTTTTCAAAAAACCTTTATAATACCCTGAGGTAGCGGCTCCACAATAACAAACTCGGAAAATTGGCAAAACAGATGTGTGCAAAATAAAAGTTAACAGAGGTTAAAAAATTGTTAAGCTATGCCGAAGCTGTCCGAACCCAAACGCAGTGCTCCGTCCAGGTCCCTCTCAAACGTTTCATAGTCATCTTCTCGATAAAATGCCCATAGCTCAATGGAGGGATCACAAGTGTGGGCAACAGGCCAGAGTTTCGTTTCGGAACGCATAAAATCAACCTATTCATTTAACGGGATTTTAGTAAAGTATTACTTTAACGCACCTCACAGCAGAATCTTCTACTTTTTTACGTACCCCGATTTTATTAGGCACCGGGATCCGGCAGGATCCCACAATGAACAACATAAGTTGTTGCAAACGCACTTCCGGCGATTCCTCAATGTAACGCATAAAATGATCAAATGTAGTCTGGTCCTGTTTGTTCGTCAAAGTTAAAGGTTTTATCTGGTTTTTGAATTCCTTAGCCGTCGACACCGTCTGCAAGAGGTAAGTAGCCAAAGTACTTTGCAGCCCCAGTTCCACAATTTCCTGCAATGTTGCGCGTGATTAATTGCACCAAATAGCATAAAATTGTGTAGAACGTACATTAACAATAGAATGCTGGTCAAAACCCGCTTTGATCAGGGAAAGGTTCCTAGTTCTTCGATCAATCAGCTCGTACTGAGACAAAGTAGAAAGAACCTGGCCTTTTCCCATATCCTTCCAGAAGTATGGCTAAACACGGAAGTATGTATAAAAAATATCTCGCAATCGCACTGGATACAAATATTCAGGTATCAGTGGCAAACTGATAATTTGAATGCCTAGCAATTAGTATGCAGTAAAGCTTAAGTTACCTGAATATCGTGATCAATCATCCAACTCCTTAATTCTGGAATTTGTTCAGGTAAATTGCTGTTGCACTCGACGCTTTGGATGAGATTAGTCAAATTCTTAGTCGATGGGAATACGCTTTCGATGCTTTTATACTGACGCTTTTGTTCGAAGATGAAATCCAGAAGGGACGCATGAATAAATGTCGGAAATGCGCCTCCGTGAGCAAGGCAAACGAAAATCAGTTTTCCAATTGATACACAAATCCATTCAGGGATTAACGCGCTGGTGATAACTTTTTCCCGGTCGCCTTCAAAATAGCAAGACCGCTCTGCTTGAATCCAGGCTTTACTTGTGATATCTCGCAACACTCCCCCGAGATCCGCAGCCCTGCGCAAAACAAAATCATTAAAACATTAAAGCCTCTTTGAAACCTTATTGTGCACTAAAAGAAACTATTCTGAGCCACTGAAAATTATGTCGCACATTTGATAATTCACAATTATCCTGGCCGTTAGAGCGATTGAATTTTCCTTTAAAAAGTGCAGCAGCTCTTCTAACACGTTCTCCATATCCTTCAGGTAGAAAACTGGCTGCGTCTCCGGAAACTTATCAACAAACTTTGCGAGGAATTCTTCAACGAGTTCGTGAACGCAGTCCTCGTCATCCGAATCAATCCGAACTTCAAAACTGGTTTCTTCGTAGTCGGGTAATTCCCTTTGTGCAAGTCGTGATGAGCGACGAACTGCGATCCTTTCTAGTAAACACATCTGGTTAACCCACATTTGAGAAAAACTGCTTTTCTTTGTATGACCTACCGTTCCTTTGCTCATTCCTTGTTTCGTTCGGTCCCGCAGATGACTGAGAGTTATATTCGTTGCTCGATTGGTTTGGTGCTACAAATGACTGACGACGGTTCAGATCTTCGACCTTGAACGACAGAACTTTGTTTGCGAAGTAAAACATCAGCGCTAGCTTGCTTTATACATACCCGTTGATGTTCAGCATCTGGCGCGGTTGCCGTGAAACCTACGGCGAAAAGCAAGTGCACTGCAGTCGGAAGATTGGAGTGTGTAAGTTTAGTAAATAATACATTATCTGTACTGTAAGTCTGCGGTTTCTGTGTTACTGTAGGAGTATTTGATACTTGTGAGAAGGATAAGTATACGTCGCTGCTATGGAAACGGCTGGGCACCGACCATAGATCACGGTCTGGATTATTCAGTGGGGCGTGTTAAGACAGCGGAAATCTTGATGTTTGGGGATTCAGGTCTTTGCTGCCTTTTAGACTGGGTACCGTACGATTATATTCTACAGCAGGAAGTCTCGCTGGAGCTTAACGAACCCCAGGAAGTGTGCGATCTCCAATCGAAAATTTTCCGCTTTTCGAATCAGTGCACATACATAAACAGCGAGGCGGGGGCAGATTCAGAGAAGGTCCTACAGACAGCTTCTCTGGTGCTTTGTCGTTACCGGCTGAGCCCTAAAATCATTGTGATCTGTGCCAGCACCAATGACATTCGAAAGTTTTTTTTTTAAATTCTTCGAATTTATCTTTCGTTAACGCGGAATACCGACACCGTGATCAAGTTAACCCGCCCTTACAGAAAAACCACGCGTGCAGTCGCTTGTAAGACTGTTTGCCCTTCCTAAGACTGTTCGGATTACAGTCTTAGGAAGGAATTCTTCGGGTTGTCTTTCCTTTGTAAGACTGTTCGGATTACACCTAGCGGACGGCAGAAATTCTGCGGAAAACGAAAAGTCTCCGGCATGGAAGTTTGCTAGTACTTTACGTAGAGCAATACAGCGCCGGTTAGACCATTCATGGCCTGGTACCGTTAGCGCATCGCACTAATGTTCCAATCCTTTTAAAAATAGTGGTACTCTCTAAGAGTCGATTGAAGCCATTTCCGCTTTACGATTGTTTATCGCTGACGCAACAATAACGACGCGTAACGATTTAGCTTTATTTATTCAATATGTGATGGCATTAGCACCGTAATACGGGTCACCGGCGCAACTGGACTAGTCGTTCATCCTGTAAATAATAACATTTTTCCTCCTACAGAGAGGTGGGACGGGAAAGAAGAACAAATACTCAACAAATCATTTTTATTGAAAGATGCCGGGTCAAAAGCAGTGCACGTAAAGTATGCCTAATGACCCAAAGTCCGGAACCAACCGCAAAAAAAATAAGACAAAAAGCCACTTTCGCTCAAATCCAGAGGACAATCTTCGGAAATTGCTGGAATTTTTTTTAAAAATTCCAAATTATTTCAACTGTGATCAAATTATTTCAGGCTAGCGAAAGTTCCAGTATGGATCCCATACTAAATCAAAGCAGAAGTAGGAGAAAAAATGGGTATCGCGCGAAGCCGACGCACGATATTCCTGCGAGATTTGCAAGAAATTGAACAAAAATATTGAAATGATTATTTTTCTATTTTGAACCCTTGAAATTATTTTACGGTTTTGAACGTTTTTAATCTTGCACACTTGCACAATTAAAAAAGCTCCTTACTTAGATTTCTACGAGTATCTAATCTGTTTGACTCTACGAGTATTTATCTGTTTCGCCCCTTCGAAATCTGCCCGCTTGTACCTGTTGGAAACTTCAGGGTAAAGAGGGATTACTGCTTAAAAATACTAGCCGATCTTGCAAATACGTAACTAAAGAAATTATTATTTTTGATTGAATTTCTAGCGATTTTTGCAGCAAAATCGACTATCCGCTTCGCACTCCGCGCGAATGAATTTTTTACTGGGTCCGTGAAGGATCGGTTAGCCAACTTGCGCAGCCGATCCGCTCGTTCTCGTCTCATGATGCCTGACATGACCCATCAGCGCGGAGGACGGGAACGAGTCGGACAGCAAGGGTTTCCTCTCCCTCCTGCCGCCTCCTCGTGGCGTTGTCTGGAAACGTCGCTATCCTGACGGCCAAGTGCAGGTTAAACCAGAGGAGGCCTTTCATTTTACCTATAAGAATAAAAATACCTTCCCGCGTTCAGTTTCGTCCTTCTATTTTTCCGCGATTTTAGTAATTACAGTGTTACCACGCCAACCGCCCCGTGGAAGCAGTCACAATATTCATCTAATCAACCCACTGCGGATGGCAACTGCTGCCAGCTGTTGGCAACTGTCGCAACTTTCCTGCACCCGGTCTCCAACCCTCCCAACCTCGTCCCCTCCTGGCCTTCTACCATACTGGCCTCCTACCCTTCTACTCTGTTACCGTCCCGGCCTCCTATTCTCCAAGTTTTCTGCTCTGGGTTGTCAAAGTTTAAAGTTAAGTCAAAGTTTAAACCTTAAGTTTAAACTTTAAACCACGAGACTAATTTTGAAAGAAATGTAGCATCTTGAGTTTGCATGAACGTTTATCATATGAAACTTCGCAGTTAAAAGATTGTGTAAAACAAAGTTCAATAAACAGATTAAGGACGTTCAGAGTTTAATATGATGTTTCAACATCCGCGCGCCAAAACCAGACACTTTCTTAAAGATTTCTAGCAAGGAATGTTTAGCTAATGAGATTTCTTTAATCTGTATCCGTGACTTGGATTAGCAATTTGAAAGAAAGCATTAAACCTTTGTTTGAACAATTTATTTCCAGTTTACACTGCAATTTCAATTTTTAAAGAAAGTCATACAAACTTTAACGATTTTGGACAAAGACTAAACCTTTATCACACTTCGTTAAACTTCGGAGAAAGTTTAGTGCTTTCTCTACTTTAGTCCACTCGGGCTTGCCATATTAATGGAATCAAACCAAGCCGAAACTCGTTACGTCTTCTTGATAAGGGGCATTTATTATTGAGTTTTCTTTAAGCGTTAATTTACGCCATCTTAGAGCGACTGAGATTGTTTGCCACGTGACATGTGGAAAGTAGCGGTTCTAGATCTATGAAACCCTCACGTTATCACTAGTTTTAAACGATTTTTTTCTTGCTTGGAATAAACCTCAGATATTCCTCCACGGCTTCGAGGAGAAAAGTGAGCTGAGCGAGGTATGCCTGGTATCCAAATGTAACGACTCCTTACAGGCTGTCACTTCCTGCTCTGCTTTCCCTTTGAATCGCCTTAGGATAATGGTGCACTAACTGGTTTTAGCGCTGTCGTATAGAAACTAGATGGCCGATTTCTTCAGGTACAGATCGAGGAAGAAGTAACTGGAATGCATCTTCCGCAATGCTTTTGTCTACGTACAAAAAGCATCCAAAGCAGCACGGCTAAACGACTGTAACAACTAACAGCATTTGGCCGGCGTTACCTGCGCTGCCGTCGGAGATGAGCTAACTAAGTTCCACGTCGCAAGTTGCGAATGCGGTAAACGTTAAGTAAAAACCAAAAAGACAATTGAAAATGGTGAACTTAACAAGCTGACCAAGTCTAAAGGGTTGCGCCACCAATAGAGCCGGAAACCGACACTGCTTAGATTTCCCTTTTAAATGGAACCAAACCACCAACAAATCGAGAAGTTCTATTTTATTTGCACAAAACTTCTTCCTCTTGACTCGAAATAGTCAGTTATTCATAGGTACAGCAAAAAGCATCATAGCCACTACGGAGAGCAACTTGTGCACAAATAAAAGTTAGGGTACTTTGTTACATAGTTTCTGCCTCATACTGGTCGGATATCAAGATACGTACATGACAGCATACACCAGTGATTAGTGATAGTTTTCTGGCATTAAGTGCGTTTCAGTTTTAACACAGAATACAGTTTCGGGCATCGAACAGGCATTCTCCATTATCCTGCTCGACATAACACCGCTTTGAAAATCCTGGTTGCCGTGATGCCATCACTTACGCGTGTTCGTATAAATCGTATGTAATGACAATGATGACCTGAAGATTAAAAATATCCGTATCAATAGAACCAGGAACTTTCTATATTCTATTCTGCACTAAAGAAAGTACTTGATAGCACTTATAACATTACAATGTGCACACAAAGTCATTCAGCAGTAACCCATCACAGAATGTGAAACACATCTTTACCGGTGTCGAGAGAAATCCCACGTAGAATACCAGAAGTATCCATTGTCTAACGGATAACGGTCTTGGCCTTCAGGGACAACCGCTTTGTGAAGTCAGGCTTAGTCAGCACGTTCCGTAGTATTGAACTCGGTTAGAAAGCGTACTTAAGTCAACAGTTACTGGCGCATTTCGAAACACTAAAAAAGAAGTTGATGAGCTCGTGTGCAATGAATGCAAAATCGGTTTTCCTGTGATATGCCTAGCAGCGATGAAATTATTACGTGTGCATTTGTTGATAATATAATTCATAAAAACATGTTACTTGAAGGCTTATACTGACAGCAGTAGCTTGAAATTGGTATTAAAATACTGCGCACGTGTGAGAACCAGTGCAGTGAACAAATTTAAAAAGCATGAGTGAAATTTTTGGCGAAACTACAGATAAGGCTAATTAAGATGCTTACCACAGACCATAAATGGTTAGTACAATTGTTCACTCGTTTTAGGGCGCTTATGCATTCCTTACGTACACTGCTTTTCTAATTCTACTTACAATTAGAAACACAGAAAAATGATTCCTGGAAATCAGGGCTACACATTTCCGCATATCAAATCATGCTCTGCAAAACTGCAAGCAAAGGTATGTCTTGGCCGTTTTTCTGAGGTCGGTCAAGCAGATGGTGAACAAGACGGGATCCACCAGTGCTTGCACCTGGTACATGAACCAACCCAACTTATCCAGAAGCAGAGTGTTTATCTCTAATCCCGAGAACCCGACAAGCGTCCAGTACACCACTGGCGGTGTCCAGCACAATAAAATGCTGGCGGTCATAAAGGTCAAGGCCACGAATCCCCGTGAGGACGCTGCGCCATGTTTCCGCGGCAAAAACCGCTGATTGGTCGCTATTTCACTGCTCGCGTCACCGGTTCGAGCTGTCATGTGTACAGCTAATTTTGTCGCTTGTTTTCTCTTGTAGACGATAAACGGATATGCGGCCTGAATACAGACCAACGGGCAAACGAATAAGGGAAACGACAGCACGATGCCCCAAATGCGAGTGACTCCAACATCGGGGTTGAGGTTACATCCTCGCACTGCTTCATCGATGCGGTACAGCCAATGATCAACGAGTACCAGCGGTAACGCCACAAAGTGCAGGATGAAAACTGTCACCACACAAATTATCACGGACATGCGTCGCGTATGGTATTCCCGATACGAAATCGGGAATACGATGGCCCACACCCGGTTCAGGGTGATCAGAAGATGCGAGTAGCTCGTGACGCTTGTCACCACTATTGATCCGTACAAATAGTACGTGCACACCGAGGATCCCATCCAGAAATATCCACCGGCGTGTTTTAGAGCGTCCACAGGACTCATGATGACGCTGTTCGCCAGAATGTTGGATCCGAGGAGGAAGATTATATAAGTCATGAAAGGAGTCCGTAGATTTTCGTGCCGGGTGAACAGCACCATCACGAAACCGTTGGTAATCGCGACCAAGATGACGAAGACGACATTGGTCCACAGAAAGAATTCGGTGTTCCCAAGAGCCAAGGAAATCGCTGGTGTAGTGTTATGCGAATAATTTAATGGCATCTTGTTAGTATCAAACAGACTTTCTGTACATTAATGATTGCGAAGAATCTGATTCCCAAGAAGCAGCAATCGCAAAGCCAAGAACAATGCAACATGCCTCGAAGTGCTGCTGTTAACTGCTGAGTTGCAATGACCGAATCCAGGAACGCTTGCTCGGCATGTAAAATTTTGCAAAGTTGGCGAAGTGCGCACTTTACCGACAGCGCTGATCTATCCTGTGGGACAATCGTTAAGATACTGTACTGCACTAACTGCAGTGGATAATGAGAATATAGTATATAGATACTTACATTTGGTGCGTTATGTTAAGCCACAGTGTATTACTTACCATAACTTCTATTGGTACAGTAGTTAACTGTCTGGATGCGCACGGCTCTATTTTTTCTGTCGATATCCGTATGTACAAAAATTCCATACAACGGATTGCCAAAATAATGGGATTGCCAAAATAACGAATACGTCTACAGACTATACATATGGCCCAATGCGATGGTGATACAAATGTTGCAAATTTTGGCGTTATCCAGCGGTCGGCTACGGATAGAGAGCGACTATTCCCAGATATTATGTATATTGCCGTGTATTTATATACTGTAATAAACAAAAATTACTGTACGAATATCAACCGGCAAATTGCGTTAGCGCGGCATCGTATTCATAACTGCATTGCAGTTATGAATACGTATTATAAGATTACGCGCTAACGCAATTTGCCGGTGCAGTTACTGCAACTGCCTTACCATAATATTATTAACCAGACCTGGGCAGTTATGGAAAATGGACCAATAGTTAGAGTTAAGAGTTAGACGGGGCGCGCGAGTTACGTTACGAGTTACGCTATTCCCAATAACCTGAGTTACGAGTTATAGCGCGAGTTACGCTACAGTAAAAAAATGTCATTTGCGCTCTTAATCAATTTAAGTTAGGACTAATTACTTACACTATGTAAGGGCGGGACGCCCCGCCCTCCTGAGTAGCTATTCGCTGTTTCTGGGGATTTCCACCCCGCACATTGCTGCGCTGTTTTCACGGATTTGCAGCACAGTTGCACTGGCTGCAGGATCCTTCCTCGTTAGTCTGGTGTTGCTGCGCCACGGTGCGCATTAGATTCGGCAATAAAGCCTCATCCGGGTTCGCGCTGTTCGCTGTCGAGGATACGCGTGGCGCCCCTATGGCCCCGCGTTATAACTAGATTTTAAGCACATACCGATGTGTTTTTCGAAACAGGTAACTGATTCTCTAATTCAAAAAAATAGTAGTGAAACATCAGCTCTACATGTTTGCATGTTCGCACAAGTACTGTATCTGTATTACAAAATACGCTGGAACTGCCGGACCGGCGCTAACCGTAAGCGTTTTGAAGTCCATTTCACGAGCTGTAAACTTAAGGATTTGCCAGGAAAAGCACATTCCACCGATTTTTAAGACCGCTTTTTACCGCTGGTATTGTTAGGGGGTTAATAAAGGAAACGCTACAGCTGAGCTGAGCATTTTACCTTTTTCTCTTTATCGGTAGCTACCTATTAGACGGTCTTTGCGTGTACCCTGGCCTTTCAATCTGAATTAATTAAAAATTACTTTCATAAATACTGCTTTTAAGTCTAAGAAAACAATACTGGCCGTTTCCATTAAATACCTTATCCCTGCCGGATAAAGGGCATAAAACCGGTGCCGCAATCCCTTTTCAAGTAGCCAAGCTGATTCGCTTCCTATTACTTAAAAGTACGGTATAGCTTAAAAGTTTTGTACGTGTGCAGGCGGGGTGAACACTTGCTGCGATTTACGAGTACGTATTCGGCATATTTAAATAGAATCTCTGATCCCATATTCACAATCAACCATATGGCCGGTTGACTAAGTTTCTATGGCGGTAGTAGTGTACACCAGATCAAACGATGTTCATTAAAACTGTTTCGCGAATTTTCGGAAAGTAATGTGGCCTGAGTCAAACTTTCTTTGTGTTTGTGTTTAATATTTTTACATATAACTCGAAACCACAAAGTTACGCTATAGTTACGCTGCGCTATTTTATTTTCGAGTTACGTTAGAGTTAAGTTTTCTTTATAACGTAACTCTGAAGCGAGTTACGCTTCAGAGTTACGTTATAACTCGATAACTCGGAAATAACTCGCGTTAAGTTATGAGTTAAGTTATAACTGCCCAGGTCTGTTATTAACGCAACTCTACTCGTAGCCAATTTCGCAGCAGCTGCCAACTATAGCGTAGAATGATTGACAGCCACAGAATAGTACATAAACAGCATAATATTCTGTTTGATATTGCGATTTTCGATTGATAATTCCCATAAATAATCTGGTAAGGAGGAAACTTGCGCTTAAAAACGTCCAGAGTCAGTCCGAACTTCGAATCGAAGTGTATAAAATATGTCGGTACGTGCTGTAATATCCATATAGATATAGATATACTAGAGTAGTACACGTATAGATACCGTTCATTTCATTTCATTTCATTCTGGCAATACTCGTCGCCAAACCGCATAACAACAAACAAGCCCTGATTTCTGACAGACAGCGAAATATATCGTACCAAGTGAAAGCTCTAAATTCACACAAAGTGAAGTAGTAATTCTAACAGAACAACAGGCAATAGGCAACAGCAAAGCAATCACTGCGCTAATATTATACACCATGTACAAGTACAACAGTGCTGTCTCCCGACGTTCTTCCTAAACCGCATGTCAGGCAGCGGAAAAAACACAGCCGGTACTTTGCGATTGCTTTATGCGGCTAGTTGTTTCGAAAACGGCTCGGTTTACATGTTCAGCAAAGTACGGTAATTCATTCACGCAGAGTTACAATGGAGGCTATAACACTGCAACAGACAGATCGTATGCAGCAGCTCGCAAACGCGAGCGCCAGCTTTATTTTAACGCGCAATGGCGCTAACCGGCTCGGGCAGAGCAAGACGTTCAACAGAACCAGACTAAGAGAATTCTAAACAGGTAGCAAGCACATCTCTAGGGAAGGCGCCAATCCTCTGCTTCGACTGATCTCCCTGTTTCCTTCCATTTGGCACGATTGGTGCTGCGGACATCACAGGCTTTTCAGTCCAAGCCGTTACTGAGTAGCCAGGGTGGTATTGTGATCCTCCATCTCCCGTGCCCGTCTCCGTGGTGGTATTGCTGCCTCAGCCAAGCACTTCGCACACAGGCCTTGCGGGCCGTGCACTCGCAGCCTGAACTCAGAGTGGTCACCCATCTAAGTCCAAACCGCGCTCGGTGTAGGCTATCTTTCAAAACCCGAAGGTTCATCCATCTAGCCACAACGAGTGTGCAGTAGCCACAACGAGTGTGCAGTAAGCCACAACGAGTGTGCAGTAGCCACAACGAGTGTGCAGTCGCCACAACGAGTGTGCAGTAGCCACAACGAGTGTGCAGTAGCCACAACGAGTGTGCAGTGAGCCACAACGAGTGTGCAACGAGTGTGATCTGCGTCCTGCGCGGTGAGTCTGGTAACCTTTATTAACATCACGAACTGTATTTTGTTCTATACACATTCATTTTATTCCAACAGAACATTATAACAATAACTATGTCAGTATCACGACGCTTCTATCTCCAAACTTCTGTCTTAAATAGCACAGCTGGTACAGAGTTATCCGGGTCAATTTGGTCACATCCAGAGATTCCAAATTCTGATCGGTCCATCCCTGATCTCGGTAATGTACAGGGACTCGAGGGTCCAAACTCTGATACTCGCATAAGACCTGTAATTAAAGAGCACCCATTAATAACCGCGAACTTGGCGACACCTTGTCAGGCCATAGAAGTAATAAAAATTGGTTGAGTAAAGATAAAACACGCTGCAAGCCCATAACAAAAATTAGCGTATAAACTACGTACAATACAATAATTTTTTAAGTTATCAATAATTAACCTTCTGCACGAGCCATTACAAGTAGAAGTTCTTCAGGAAACACTGATAAACAGACCGAGCATGCCAGTTACACATAATTTACACCGTCGCCCGGTCTTCCAAATCTTAAAATAATTTTATGTTTCTTTCTACAATTTTGAAATTTTTGTCCAACATAATTTCAAACAGTCCGTTGAATTTTACAGTACACGGCATTTTAATAAATGGGAGTTAACTAAATAATTAACTTAACAGTCGCATAACTATTACCTGGACAATCAAATCACATAACTCTTCATTCTCTTGGTTCTCTTCGTTCTGTTGGCCAATTAATTTAATCCATTCCGAAAGGGAGCTCATCGCTTCCGGCAGAACCACACTGTTTTCCCAGGCATTCCATAAATCCTTTTCAGCACCACCTGAAGCCAGCTGGGTAATACAGAGGGGAATGGACGCCGACAGATCCTCCTTCATAACGCGACAGTTCTTCCAAACAAGGGTATCATACAACCCTGCACAACGCCGGCAGTGTTGGGATATTGCGCCGGTATAACAAGACAGCGGTCGCTCTGCCGATGATATCCCAAACTGCCAGTTTGCCAAAATTACTGTTGTAATAGCGGAGCGCTTCAGGACATCTTCAAGCAGTAGTATCGTCACCGAGAATAATTTTTCATCTACATCCGCAATCACCAGTTTTTCCGTTGAGGGATGGGTAGCGTATTTCAGCAGCGTTGCGGCCACAGTGTACATCGCATCCCAGGGAAGATCTGGGGCGATGCTGTCTCTGTAAGACACGCGCACTTCCTTGAGATTTTTCTCTGTGGTCAAGATATCGTTCCACAAGGCGCACACGCGCCGACACCGGACCCGATCCACGGTGCTGAGCGCTTCCAGGGTTTCAGTAAGAAGTTCCAAAATCGGCGGCAACCTATCGTGGTGATGCGGTGGATCGGGCACTTCTGGAGCTTTCCAGGTCGGAATGCGTCGACAAATCCGCGCTTCATTCGGGAATTTTTCGCCTTTATCGATGTACGACTGGATTGATTGTTTATTTCGTTCAAACCATTTTTTCTGGAAAAAAAAATAGAAAACCATAAACTGGTCGACGTACAGTACATCCAAACTAAAGCTGAAAAATAAAGGAAGAAGAAAAAAGAAATGTGGATAAACATACCGGCTGCAAGCGAAGCACAAGACCTACAAAAATAATCAGAATAAAGGAAAACATGTATGTTAAACGAAATAAAAAATATGCTCATAGAAATGATAAGTAAAGGAAAAATTACAATAAATATAAAATATGCAAAATTAAAATAAACAGAATTCCAGTTACTGTTTCAGTAATTATCGCATTGACAACTTAGGAAAAGCCACTTTCCGCCACCTAGCACGGCCCAAAATGCCAAAAATTAATAAAAGATAATAACGGTATATAGATATCTATATTTATAGCGTGCAAATTAAGCAAATATGTAGTTCATGCGGGTCCAATTGAAAGGAGAGATACCAGAAGACCGCCTTACGATATTTTGAGGATCCAACGATGGCGCACCCTGACGCTGCAGGTACACGATGTGGTCTTTTTCGACACGTATAAAATGATTTCCCCGGAAATCCCGTGCAAACAGACCCAGCAACACAGGCGAAATCGACGGTGCACAACTGCTCGGTAAAGCCACAGAGCGAGTGACAAAATCATGTATCCGCACTAGCTTCTTTTTGCGTTCCTCTGGCGACAGTGGAAATCGCACTTGCGCCCGTGGAAGCACCGTTCTGATGACATCGTTCCCGCAATGCACTTCCACAAAGAGGTGGAAGCCCAAGCCCATGGTGTAGGAATCAAATGTCCGATCGAGTCTGGCAGGATACCACACCCAGGGGCGGTTGCTGCGCGTCCGCAGCAGAACTTCGACATCCATCGTCACGCTTGCGCCACGAGTCCCACGACCCTGCTCTAAGGCCGGGTACTCCGGAATATAGTCGAACCAGTTGGGTAAGGCTGCACAGGAGTTATCGAAAATGCTGCGATAGTGGATAAACTGGGAGTGCTGGTCAGGACACTGGAAATCAATCGTCAATCCGGATTCTCCAGCGTCAAGCACCAGGCCGTGGTGATACAGACCGTCGATCAGCACATCCACAGCGTTCCATGCATTCACACTGTGCTCGCCGTCTCCGTAAATATGCATGCTGCCGAATAGAAACCTTGGACAGATTATGGGGATATCCCGCTTTAGGACATGCTATTTCTTAACGGGAATATTCTATTCAATTAAAAAAATGTAAAAGAATAAGAATACTAAGTATCTGTCCGCTCTGCTAGCTCTGATGTTCAACACTGAACACGGCCCGAAATCCAAAACAGCGAACAAAAATCAATATCGTTTTTGCAGCGGTCGCGCAGGCAGCCTCGCTGGGTGGCAGTGACAACTTACGACTGGCGTGCCATTAGCTGCAACACCCTGGATAGTGGATGTCAGTTACCGTATTTCAAGCTTCAAATAAAAACTCGTTATTCTTGAGTTGATTTGATGATTTTAATCACATTGCAATCTTGTTGGCAATTTTTCACATGTACAATCATTAGCATGGCTTTCTAAAGGCGTCTTCCACAGGAGGAAGAACGATCGGTGCTACTGTTCTGTAATTATGACATCGCCATCGCGCGGAATGGCCTTCCGCTCTGCGAGCAGTTCTCCGATGCCAACCACATCCGCTGTTGATTCCTCTCCCTCCACCGCGTCTTCCCTGTCCCCCACTCCTCCAGCATCCACCGCCAACTCCGACTATTTCCTGCGATTATCCGCCAAATTCGTGCATTTTGATCCGGTGACGAAGGGGACATCGGTGTTCTTCGATGACATTCAGTGTCAGATTTTTGTGGTGCGCGATAACGGCAGCGCGGGTGTCCGCGTGCACAGTCCCATTGCCAGTCGCAATTTTGAATTCGCCATCGAGAATAAGGGCACCATACTGTCCATAAAATTCTCTCCGGATTTCCGGGTGCTGGCTGTGCAGCGGTCGAATAAATCGGTGGAGTTTCTGAATTTTTCGGAAAACAGGCAGATCGACTTGGTTGAGTATTCTCAGGTACGTTTTAAATGTTCTCTGTTGTTGCTCGATGTTGTCAGTTAAATTTTAAAAACAGGTAACAGAAATCTCTAAGTTTGTTTGCCAATTTGGGACATTCTGTATTTTTAGAGTAATTTTAATAAATATTTATATTTTTACTGTACATTTGCAGTTTGTACGAGTATTTGCTTTTTTGATTTATAAGTAATCGGCTTTTGCTGTTTTCTCTCATTTTGCTATTTAGTAGTAACACTTTATTTATTACTTAATTGAACTGTTATTTTTTAGATTTTCAAAAAATAGATGTTACTCCTTTGTTTGCCTTCGGAATCGATCTTGTTGATTATTTTTAGCGCAATTTTCACAAGTGTGTTTAATTTTTTTAAATTTGAAAATTCATTTGCGATTTTTGTGCTCATCAATTTTAAAATTAACTGATTATCAATTTTAAAATTAATAATTTTCAGAAGATAGATTTTAACAGTTTACTTCAACGAGAAGTAATCAGATTTGGATAGTTTACAAATTACAACGTTCTGCTTTGTATACTTCGTGGATGCATCGAGATAGGAGTGCTAAGGGCTGCAAAATAGAACACCTGAATAAATTTTGTAGGTATGTCGCGCGCGTTCCGCAAAAATCCTCGGATTCTGCTGGGTGTCAGCATCGGAGATCGTACTGATAACGGACACGCAGGGCTTGGAGAGCTACGCTATTCGGCCGGAAAAGAAAAGCCTGCGCAGTTTGAAGAATTACAGCGTCAGCGTCAACTGGTTCCTGTACATGCCACCCTATTTATTATTGTCCAGTGGACCTGCATGCAATATTCTCCATGTCTTCCTCCTTCGTAATCCGGGCAATTATCAACGATTCAACAAATTCGAGATCGATATCGGCGCGCAGCATGCAGTGCAGGTAAAATCCACGGCATAATACGCTGTGATTTCAATGAAATCACAGTAGAATTATGTTTTGATAATTTTTTTACGTTCGTTGGTAGTGTTAAACAGTGTTTTATTAAGTAACAATTTCATCTGATTACTCCTTGTTTTCTTTAATTTTTCGAAGCACCGCTGAACTCGAAGCATGGCACGCTGATTTGCTTTTGCTATGATTTTATGTAGAGAAGTGGCACATCACACAGAAATGACACACTGTTCGACTAAATCGTCATACCGAATTTCACAAATTTGCTGTATATGATTTGTTTGTGCTTAATTGGAATACTTTTTAATGTTGTTTCGATTCATGATTCTTCTCAGGGTTTTTGTAGATAGAGGATCGGAAAAATCTTAGAATTTTGTAAAATGTAAGCCGATGGAACAGTTTGCGGTGCAAATCCAATTTGCGCAGTTCCTGCGCGGAGATATTTTACCTGTATTTGGTTTTCCTTATAATTGTATGTGACCACGAAAGCGTAAATAATGTTGCGATTTTATTGGGTTTTTTTATGATTACTAGAATCACATGCAGCCGAATAAGCTCCTGGAACGCGACGTGGTATTGGCTCCGGTATACGGATTACTTTACGTCCTGGTGATCAAGCAAGTATCGAAGTTGAATGCCGGAGCGGAAGTGGTCATGTATCAAGTGAAAAACGACGGATCGGTGCGCATCACCGACATTCTGTTGTTGGAATGCAACGGACGATTCGCTGTCAACGTTCTGGACAATCTCATTGTGGTCCACCATCAACAGTCCAAAATGTCCAAGATCTTCGATCTGAAATTGAATACACGTGGGGATTCCGTGAAATACCATTTTCCGGTTTCTTCGTATTCCATCGAGCCGTACCATATTAAACGTAAGGATTGTTCGCTGTTATAGCTGAATATTTTTATAAAACTTCACTGCGTTTGTGCAATAAAAAATTACAACTTTCGTGATAAAAATTTTGATAATATAGAGCAATTCAAAATGAAAAAATTCGTCGATGCCCAATGTTTTTAATGTTTCCGGAAAACTTCCTTCGTTTGCTTATTGAAAGGTGAATTTTTAATGTTTCAACCCGCTATTTTATGAAGAAAACGCAAAAGGTTGTTAGATAGTTGATAACAAAAGAATTTTGTTCTTATCGAAATGTAAAATTGGCCAATACTCTTTAAAACTTGAACATATGTTGAGGTGGTATTAGTACGATAAAAAGAACGTGCTTCGTTATGGAGTTGTAATCGTAGTGCTGTGGCATTCTCCACATGGCATTGGATTTGGCATGCTTATGTACATCCATTCAAATTGTCAAAAATCGATAGTGTTTCAGCTAATAGAATGATTAATAATTTCTTGACTGGATACTCGCGTTTTCTTACTATTTATTTTGTTTTTCGCTGGCAGTGAACATTGTATCCATTCCCTACGAGTTGTACTCCTCCAACTGGGCGGTTTTCCTCCCAAGCATCATCGTCGACGCCAAACTGGGCTGTTTATGGCAGCTGGAGCTGAAAACCGACAGCCTGGCCTGTCTGATCGCCGACCGCGTCAAACGCATCGAATTCTTGCTCCTCCGGGACCACGACGCCAAATCCGTCCTCATCAAACACCTGGCCGCTTACCTCCACAATCCCCCGGACTTTCCCGCCTGCGTTAAATCCTTCGAGCTGCTCAACCAGAAACTCAAACAGTTTTCCACCACCAAACCCGGCGATGAAGTGCAACGGCGCTCGGTGCATCTGGAGCAGGTGGAGGTGTTCCGCTTCCTGTTGCTGCCGTTGTCGGCGTCGCTGGAACTGCCGCATCGAAACATTGTGGCGGTGCTGGTGGAGTATTTGCGCTCGTTGCTAGCCGTGGGGATGGAGCCGCAGTATTACGTGCAGGAGCTGATCGTTAATACGATGGTGCAGTTTAAAATGTTCCATCTGCTGCGCCACTGTGTGGAGAACGGGGTGTTCTGTGATTCCAAGCCGTTTGCGTGTCTGCTGCTCTCGCTGGAGAATATGTTTCCGCCGGCGGTGCAGATGGTGCTTGATATGCTCAAGGTTAGGTTTATTGTACCGATTTTAATTTTTTTGTTAGTTGTATTATTAGATATTATGTATTAGCTATGTATTTTTTATTTATTAGTTTTATTGTTAGTTTATTTTATTTATTAGTTACGAGCGTTGTTTTCATTATTTTTGTTTTATTTTAATAGCTTTACTTTTATTCTGTTGTTTTTAAAATTTTTGCTTGTAATAACACGGATTTCCCAAGACGTGTACGAATAAACAGCGTAAAATCAAAACAACACGCAGAAACAGTAAATTAAAGCAGTAAATAAAAATCATTCCCTACCTAAATGGAATTAACGTTCTTCTGGACTTAAGGATAAATTACTTGTATTAGTTTTCTTATCCAGTATTTACTGCGGAAAGCATTTTGTGTTAGAAAAGAACATGACATTTGTGTTATTTGAATCGGAGCTTGCTGTTCAGTCGGTATGGAATGATTAGCGTAGTATAAATGCTGTTTGCCAACCACCATTTTACGCAAATGCCGTGCGCGATATAACGTGATAACAACTGACTTATGTACAACTTGTGCGCACTGAATTATTATGAATTTAATTGCTTTTTTTTATGTTTGGATTGTTTTCAAGTAGAAAACTCCTTTTTCGATTGGCGGATTTTGAAAAAAAGAAGTTTGCCTTGCAGAGATTGGGAAGTTCGGTGGAGGAACAAGTGGAGATCCTTTTGGCTAAAAACGAGATCTTTGCCGCCATGCGCCTTCTCCAGGCGGCCGGCGTGGTGCAGCACGAAGCGTACCTGACGCCGCGTAAATTCCTGGAACCCGCTCTGACTTCCGGTGATCGAATGCTCTTTTATTCCGTTTTTCGGTATTTTCAAATGCGCAACAATCGCCTCCGCGGCAGCTCCAAATTCCTATCGGAGGAACTCTGTGATGATATTGTTTTTCAATTTGAGACCATGTTTCCCGAAGATGTTGCCGACAGGCGTGATGTGGTGTTTTAATTTCTCTGTGTTTACTGATTTTTCAACTTTTTTTCGTTTTGGATGTTTTACTTTAATTTTTTTAGATTCTTTTTATAATTTATAGGGTTTTAGATTTCTATGCATAGTATGACTTCCAGTTTTAAATTGTGTTTGCCGAGAGGTGTCCCTGTTTTGTTTTATTCAAGTTTTTCCATTCGTCATAACTATGGTCTTTCATATGAAAAATAAAGAGATAACAGTCCCAAACGATAACGCTGTACACAGGAAACATTAAAGTTTAAACATCGCTATGCAGCAAAATCCATCCGCCTGGAATGTTTTTTCATAGTTTGATCGCGTTTCTCTCGTAATCTTTCCGATGCCGCTCGCCTCATCCTGGAAAAAAAACTTGGTGAAATTCCAAACAATACCTGCTTAATCTTTCACATTGGGCACTGGAAGCGAAATTAAACACAACGGCAGACGTTATTACACACCGACAATGAGGAAATGCATGCTGCCAGCTTGCCATCGCACTACGTTATGACACAATGAAGAATATCTTTAAACTAATAACGCTTCGTCTGTTTCAGATTTCCAACCACTCACTTATCAACTCCTTAAATGTCACAATAAAACTCCTTAAATTAAAACCTGTTTGTCATAAAATTTCATCAACATATGACAGAATCCTATAAAACTGTACCTAGCCTGGACAATCTGAGGATCCTCTTCGCGGGGCACTTTCGGTGGGGTCTCCAGTTCGCGAAGCAGAAAACGGATCTTATCCAAGCAGTCAGCCAAATTGTACGACTGCTTCCGTGTCTTCTCCGAATGAATGTAGAAATATCCCTCTTTGGTAATTCGCGTTTTCTCCTTCTCCTTCAACAGATCTCTGAGTTTGGCGGGGATCCACCAGGCATCGTCCACTTTAAATCGCACTTCCACTTTGGTATTCACTAAAGCGAGCCATCCACAACAAATTAATAATACCGGATAATAAAAAGTTCACCAAATTAATATATTTATCATAAGCTGAATTATAATTTAAAAGTAAACAAAAAACCGATATACGACACGGATCGACAAGCGGAAACTATAACACGGTATTTTTCAAAAATAAAGAATTAACACTTCTTCATACGAAAATAAGAAGTACAGTATCTGTTACAGAATAAATACAGAAAAATAAATAAAGCATAAATATAGAATTTCGACATTTATTGTAACACTACGCCATAAACAAGCAATTCCGATGAAAATTATAGCAACTCTGACAAACACAAAATAAGCTTACAATCAGCAAAATAAGTACGAGTAGTATTTTTTCGACTGCATATTAGTGCATACCTTTATTAACATTCTGTCCACCAGCACCGGAACTCCTTGACACAGTGATTTTCAAGTGATCTGAAAATGGAAAACAAATAATAAAAAATTAATATTATTAGAATGCATATTGTCTTCAATGCAGGAAGCATCAGCTACACGCACCTATCGGAATATAACCATGGAATTTATCGGATTTGGCCGCCGAATTCTTCATCTACAACAAAACTGCAATATGTACCATTGCTAACTGAAATAACAACGGTTAATCAAACGCACGTCGTCATCGGCATCCGAACTGAAGTTGTACGCAACACCCGGATACAGCTTCTGTAAATTATCAGCACTGGCGTAACGCACTCCGCTGTTCGCTTCCAGTCCTTGCATGGCGACTAGTTGGGAGATTTTTATTGTTGACTGATCTGCAACACTTCCAACTGAGAAACCCACCGAATTACTGAATATTTCTCGCATCATCAGTATCAGCACAATTTTTATTTCACAAAATTAGCAGTAATAGCTGCTCCGTTAAATTATTAACGAAAACTAATCCATTTTATTTCTTTATATTCATTCATATTATTTTTATTCTATAAATTTATTATTTATCAATTTTGTAATTATTATTTTTTCAGAATTTTTCTAATTTTTTTTAACATTATTTTTTAGGAAGTTACCAGAGTCCCATGAGTACAAGTCACAACCCAATCTGCTGCTTCAGCATTAATTATATTTTTTTTCGAAATTTCGAAAGAATCTTGAACAGGTAAATATTCCTACCAATTGGTACGAAAGGCTTTCCTGTGGCACGCATATCCTCCTCGGTTAAAATCTGGGGGTTCTATTGATCAGAGACGACAAGAGACGTCAAGCATTGGCTGGCGATCTCCGACTGCTCGTGCAGTCGTGCACAACAGAAAAGCACGGCCTCAAAATTTTCGTACCAATTTTTCCTGTTTGGTCCGACAGTCCGGCGTGATCCGGTCCCAGTCCACCGTTTTGTAGGGATGCCATTTGAGCCATCCGGTCTTGCGCCACATTACGTAGGTCTCATATGTTCGCACGAAGGCCTTCAGAGGTGACGACGGGGAGGCCAACAGCAGCGCCGAGGAGCAGCGGGAGCGCATGCTGTTCATCGCTGCTGCGTGTCAGGTATAATCCGATCAAAAAAATATCAAATATGAACGACTATCAGTGAAAAGTGCAAACTAAGAGCGGTAAATCATAGCTGCCGTTGTTGAATACAGTCAAAACAAAATCAGGAAAACTGAAAAATCTCTGGAAAAATGAACCATGAAAGTTTCATGATGAAACTCATGAAAGCTCGTGCAGGAAGTCGCAGACGGAAGCGTAGCGCGCCGAGGCTTACGCCTTCAGTCGTCGCACTGAGCGACGGAAGAAGGGACCAGTTCGCAACGCTACGCTCGGTTGGAAGCAATAAAAACATGAAACTTCGAACAGCTGTTGTAGTGTTGTTTTCGAAAACGTTTGCTTCAGCTTGTGTCGCTGTTTTATCATTTTATGAGTATTACACTTTTACAGTTTACTGTTTAACAATTTTATTTTTATCCCTAACTGTAAGGATTGTGGTCACTATCTTCAGGGTTTGCATTGGTTTTACGTTCATTCCACAGATGGTTGGTTCGGATTGGGAGTTTACATCCCTGCAAATTGAAATCGTTGATGTGCGTCGCTGATAGTAGAAGTCTTGAACTTTGAGTCTCTGGAGTCTTGAGTCTCTTGACGACCCAACTCTCCGGTGCTTTTTTATCCGCGATAAAAATGGAACTGCTCTTGGCGAAGGAGGCATTCGAGTCGTCCAAATCATCTGCTATCATAACTTTCTTCGGTAAGTAATCCCTGTGCTGAGTGAATTCCTGCATGTTGTGACCAGTTCTTTGACTTCTTTCGTCTACTCGTAGTAAACAGTAAACACCTTACTCAGTTTACGGTAAACTTTTCCATTAGTTTGTCTGTGACCATATGATCTTATTATCATAGTATTAGTGTGACAGTGAATGCGGAGTCAATGTAGGCAGAAGGGACAAGTGGTGCGCCGTATTAGCTGATAATGATGACTGATGAAATTCTTTAAGTACCAGAACCAGTACTTGAAGTAGTGCTTATTCTTAACCACCGACTACTGATCAGCCCATGATCGCAAATCGTTCATACGCTTTACAGATAGCAAGCAGCAGACTGCGGTGGATCTCCTGACGGCATTCGTGGTGCATCGCGCCGCTGTTTCTCCACGGTATGCATCGCATAGATTGCAGGTTTATCCGTCTTTGACTCTTAATTTCTCCAGCTGCTTGCTGGGGGAATTGCTGTGCAGAGTTTTCGGGTCTGTTCCGTTTTCATTTCCATGACTTGATCGACTGGTTTTGATTTTTACAGCGCGTTTGTCCATTTTCTCTGCTTTGAGCGCAAACCACGCTTCTGGAAGACACGATTAGAAGACAAGCTGGCAAATCGGTGAGCATATTTTTTTATTGGTTTTTCGTTTTTGAATTTTGATCACTTTTTGAAATCATTCTCCTTGTTACTGTTACTATTAATTTAATTTAAATTAATTATTACATTAGTTAAATTACGTTATTATTGTTATTATTGAATTTGTATGTGAGACTTCTGTCATAAACTTAAGATTGGGTTTCTTAATTTTCTTGCGGGCGGTTTGGCTGCGTCAGATCACGGATACAAGCCTTAGCCAGCGCTTTATTATGCTTGAAACGTAATTTTTATGGAATATAATTTTTGCGTAGTTACTGCTTTAGCTGTTGCGAGAACCATTGATGTGTTTGAAATTTCCATTGAAGAGGAGTCGTGTATGGATTTCAGTATTCATTTCTACGACTTCTGGTATGATGCATTCGGATGGAATGATCCCAGCCGACTGCTGGAAGCGCAGACCGTCATCAACGCCGTGCAGACCACATTAAAAAACCCCGCATGCTCCGCATCCTCGTGCAATGAGCACGTGCTGGTTTTCGATGCATCCACACTGCTGCTGCTGACGATTCCCGCCAACGAGCTGTGCTTGTTGTTGGTGGGCATTTCCGACAAACTCAGCGAAGGTGAATTACCACGCAGTTTGTTACGACTTAATAAATTGTTGATATTTAGCTGGGTTTTTCCATTCGCAAAATTTGATTTGTATTATTTTAAAGTTTTCACTACTTTTTGAATTTTTTTGCCAACATTACTGTAAATTTGCATCATAATCTTGCGTATGGTTGATTTATGGATCATTATCTATTTAACCAGTATTTTTCGTGGAAGGACGTTTTTATTATCCGGAAAACGTATTTCTCTTTCCTTGATTGTTTGTATAAATGGATTCTGTGGTTTCACACGATTTGTAGAACTTGGACGCCCCGTGACCAGTAGTGTGGCTGTTCTCCATCATTCAGATATTTTTGATGAGTACTCGGAAAAAGCTCTCAAAGTGATCTCTACATCCAGTATTTCCGTTGCATCCGCGACACAGACGCCCCGTCATGAAAAGGAATTTCTCTGCACCATCACGTCCAAGTCGCAGCAGGCCTCCGTTCTTAGAAAGGTAATGCGGTGTTTACTTTATCTGTATTGTAAAGTGTGCTGGAATGGAATACAGGTTATTTTCTACCGCGATTTGTTGTCGTAACGGCATTTTTAGGACGCCGATTTTAATATTTACTTTTATTTATGAAATTTTTAGCCTTGTTTTAAGGGCTGACAGGTATATTATTGGATTTTATCATTTTTGTTTTTTAGCAGCTGATACAGCCCCCAAACGATTTCAATCGCATTTCGTTAGCTTTTTACGAATATGTGGCATTTGTGTGACACTGTGCTCAGAGGATTATCCTGCTTAATTAGCATTAATTTTTAGGCTGAAAAGATTATTGTCAATTCTGAATGGATTCCTCGGTTTGAGAAAGCGGATCTTTCCCGACCGGTCGTGGCAGAAGCGCCGCGTGTTGAGGTTAAATTTGAGTAGTAATTAAAATGAATTCATCGTTCTGTTTTGTTTCAATGTTTTTCAACTATTAATACAGTGGTACTACTGTGCTGATAATTTTGGCAGTTGCAGTTACCGAACTATGTGCTGTATGATGTTGTATTGAACGTAGTGTAATATTTGTAGCTTAAGAAAACAGGTTGCCCACAAACGGATATAAGTTTCTCAGATACGAATCAGATAAATTATGGATTTTCAATTTTTTTAATGTCATGTCGGTCGGGAATGTTTAAAGTGTGCGCTGTTTCTAGCCGGATCCTACGGCCAACATTCCCTTCAATCTCCGCCTGACCGAGGAACAACGGGCAGCACGCAGTGCCGTACCTCTTCCACACACCAAAGGCGCCGGCGTTATTTATTACGAACCGGATGAGGCGGACGATATTGATTACGAGGATCCAGATGAGTGATTACCTGCTTCAGAATTGCTTGTAGTCTGTTTTTATGCTTTTATCGACTTTGTAGACTTCACGAATCTTTATTTTTATTATTCTCCCGCTGTAATCGAGACATCGTGATCACAAATAAAAATTTATCTGAAATGTTATACAGTGTATTCTGGTAATAATAATTACAAAACAAATAACACCGAACGAGCTATCATCAGAACCAAAGACTAAAAATACAAGAAGAGATGTTTGCAAGCCGCGGAAATGGAAATCACGGCCGAGGATTGGGTTTATTCGGCTCAAATTTGACGGAATATCCGCCGGATTCCTGCGGTTCCATGCGGAAGTTCTCCGTGGAAAGGCCAAATGGTTTCAGGAACATGTTGCCCAGATCCTTGAGTTTTCCTACACAAAACATGAACATCATTATTTTTCTAAAATACACCAGCACTGTGGCAGTCTAAATCTAAATTAACAGCAAAAATTTTGATTTTCCAAGCCAATTCGCTGCTTATTTTGTCCTGCTGCACTCGAAAATTACTTTTAGTAGTAATAACCCATGAGAAATTATTTTTAACACATAGTAGTAATCTGTGTCCAATTTATGCCGGCATTGATCTCACTGCATCGGCTGACAAATGACCGACATATCTTGCCAAAAACAGGATTCTTCTGATTAAAATACCGGCTGTCGCTATAACGATCTACCCTGCTCGATTAACTGCGACACTCGGAATCATATGAAAAAAACCAATTCCTTACCGAACATTTCTGTTTTCATTTTCTCGTTGCGTTCCTCAATTTGCTGCGGCAACCGCATACAGGCCTCCATGACACCCGGCAGCCGGGGATCGCGCTCGGCTAAGGTTTTATAATCCGCCAGCGCTTCGTCCAGTTTATCCGTCAGCTCCTGCAGTTTGGCGCGTCGCAGCAAGGCTTTGATGTTATCCGCATCATGTTCCAATGCTGCAATAACAATTTTGACAGTTGATCATAACTTTAAAAAATACCTTAACATACGGTAAAAGGCAAAAGCACTGCAAACAGCGAAAAAAGTCAATTAATCGTAAGAAGAAATATGCACAATACTTATTCTTAATATTTAATAATCAATAAATAAACCAATTCCTTAATAATGAAATTATTATAAAATGGCTATTTAGACTGTACAGAGATTCAATAATCATAAAACATTTCACTAATAGTCGTACAAAGTAATACAACCACATTGCTGCAGTGCGAATCGGAGAGCCCTATCTTCACCTTAAAAATTAACAGCAGCCATGTAACATGTCATTAACATATTAATGTTGTTATCAGGTTCTCCCAAACAATTTATCGAATTATATTCATTTCAAAGTAGTTTAATTTTGGATGGTTTCCTTAAACCACAAAATTTACAAACCAACAAGCAGTTAGCTTTTCGAGAGTACTTTACAAACAAAACAGTTAATTCAAAATTTAAAAACCAAAAAAACCAACGTTCAACCTAAGAATGAACGCTAGCTTTCCAGCTTCCAGCTATGAAAAAGAAAATCTACGTCCTACGGTCCTAACTGTATGGCTAAAAGCTGCTAACGATAAAGCAGTACTCAGTAGAGCATTTTCCATTTTCAAAAAAGCCCACCAAGACACTGGTTGGTACCTTTCGTGCAGTCTTCAATGGCCGTGTCGTAGTTCTTCTTGATCTGCAGCTTAATATAACAGGCTGCTCGGTTCGATAACAACACTGATTTATGTTTGGACACTGAGGAATCCGTTTCAGACGGGGAAATGTGCAGAGCTACAGTATAATCCTGGAGAGCACCGTCGAAATCCTCTTCGCCAAACTTACGATTGCCCTGGGTTTTCAGTTCCAGCGACTCGGCGTAGGAAATCTGCAGTGATCGAGGAAAATTATTACGAAAAACTGTCTTCCAGATTGATTTTGGTATCAGTTATCACTGTTATCTGTATTCTGTACTCACGTATGGAAGTTCTTCCACGGTTTCGTGGGGAATTTCTGCAGTTGCTGTACTCTCCGTTGTATCACATGGAGGCACCTCGGTGGGGCTGTTCTCCATAGCTAATGAGATGAATAAACCGTATCAATACAGGAAAGGGAAAATAGAATATAAACAACGCAAAGAAAATTAAATGTGGTTCTTAAATCGTATTTTGTACAATTACGTTGTTAGATTGTAAGAAAATACAGTATTTACATTTAAAACTGTCTTTCCACTTTTCTTTACAGAACCGCAAAATCAAAATGCAAAATCACAAGCTCGAACCTACGGTGATTGATTTCAACGTGCATGTCTCCGCCTCCAGGTGGCAAGCACCAGCTAATTCTTTGTAACATGTAACGCTGGAAAGCGGCACTGCTGTACACAGTGTACAGTGGTACAGTGCACGGTTAATTAATAAAGAATGCGTACTACGTAGTACTTTGTATTAATTTTCATTACTTAATTTTTAAATGCGCACAGAGTTTAGATTATTTTTGTAGTTTGGCATACTACCATAATGAATAATATTATTATCCGTATAATAATTCACTAATCGTACTGTACTTTATTGCAGCTGCTCCTTGTTTCGTAGTATGTACTCACACAAATTCAACTCACAAACAGAATTCACACGACCTTTGACAAGCGTGTGATTTTTCGTCCTTCAGTTACCCATTTCGACAAACTGGTATGCACTGTATTATGAATAAACTTACTGTATAAGGGCAGCTATATCAGTTATTTACGTAAGTAAAATGGATAACCCATACGAGTACAGATTAAACAGATGCCAAACAAAAACATGAATCGTTAGAAATGGAATTACCTGATAACCTGCGGTATCGACAAGCCGGACACGAGACATCGTAGGTCCGTACACAAAACACTGTCTTGCCATCCAAAACTGATAGACTTAATTGACATATATAATAGCTTAATATGCGCATACGATGCCGCACTGTCTTGAACGATAAAATATACAGAACCTGTTTCACATCGGTACCTGTAAGAGTCGTACGATCAATACATACTCGTATCGATGAAAATAGTTACATATGTACTTTTTTCAACAACACACGGTACAGTAATGCCGGAAGCACTGCCTCCGAGGACGGAAGAATTTAAAACTCTTTACGTGCCATTTACTAGTACGGTTTCATGTGCCGAGATGTCGTTTTCCGTGCAAGCGCGCATTGTAGTGTGAACGATAAGCAAAATGCTAGAAACGTTAAACCGGCAACCGGCTCGATTCATAAACAACTTACAAAAGCAGAAACATCATCGTTTCAGAGTTTTACGTTTTTCGTTTCATTTAAAAGCAAAACATGAGTTCAAAATGGCATAACCTGTAAATTCGGAACATTTTGTTAGCATATGTATTACAGCCAAATTAAAATAACATGCATACGAGAATTGGTAACGATGCCGGCAAAGAACGATGGGTGTTTTTGCTCTTCAACGGTCTGCAAATCTTCAGTACAACAGTTTTCCAGGATCAGCTGAGTGGACTGAACGGTCGACTACAAGGCACCGTGGAAGACTGTCATAATGGTGTGGATACTACGTGTCTCAATTTCACTGCATCACAGTTTAACGGTGTCTATGTCAGCGGTTTCTGGATGGGCTCAATAACCTGCATACTCATCGGGTTCTTTACTGCCCGGTTTGGCGTATGGGCAGCCAGTTATTGGACTGGATTGAGCATATTATTTGGATCGTAAGTGAGGCTGGATAGCAATTTGTGTACAGAGTCTGTAACTTATTTCAAAATGTTTCAAAAATCATAACACATTTTTTAAAAAAATACTGCTCAAATAAATTTTTGGGTTGACGAGTGCATTTTCGTATCATTCGTATGTAAAATCGCAGTAAAATCGCAGAAATTGGGTTATCTGTATTCTGTAACTTCTGTTTATACATTTTGATCACAATGTCCTGCACTTTTATACCACCAGGACACTGTTTACACTGGGACCATACTTTCCATCTAACCAATCCGCGTTTGCCATAATGTTAATTGGCAGGTAAGATCTAGACATTGTTCAGCTCAAATGTTAGTAACAATTATGTAAACAATATCTTTCTCCCACCTGCGCGAATTTGCCGCCGTATTCCAGGTTTACCGCCTGTATCGGGGTTTATGGCAACACCGTTGTGTCCAACGAAGTGAAAGCACATTGGTTTGCTGGAAAAGAACTGGCATTGTCTTTCAGCCTTTTTTACTGCTGCGGACGCATAGGTCAGTGCCGTCCAAATGTGTTCAAGAGCAAAAAAAAGAACGAATGTGCAACTTTCTGCAGGATCCATCGTAACCTTTGCATCTGTGGGATCACTGCTCGAAGCTTTAGGATTACAGAATGCGCTATGGGTGCTGTGAGTTCTGACCCAGGGTGCCACAGTCTTTGCAATTTTGTCAGGATGGGTGTATAAAAAGTACACTTCCGAAAGACTAGACGCCCAAGTGCTGGATGATTCCGCCGCAGCAACGTATAATCTGTACACTCTGGGGCATCTCGGTACCAGCTGTTGGTTGATGTGCGGGGTCATATTCTTCTTTTACGGGGCGCTGAATTCAATGCTGGCGGATGGCACCAAATTCTTCATTGTATGTGGTAAAATTCTTGCGCTATTTCAACCGTTTCGTTGTATTAACGCCATGCGCCTGCTCTGATATCAAAGGACAGCGCATTTTTCTTGGTTCTTAAGACCATGACCTTTGTGGCAATTCTTTAGGAAATGTATGATTATACGGAAGCTAGAGCGGCCGTTATTGTCGGCATAATCCCGGATATCGGCCTGATTGCACCGTTGTTCGGCTGGTTGATTGACCGCTACGGTCATCGGGACGTGGTGACATTGGCCTCCACCTTATTCATGTTTTTGTCGTTTCTCCTCATCGCGCCGGTACCCATTGCCGCGGTCATGATAACCGGATTGAGCTGTTTGGCCCTAGCGTACGCTTTAGATCTTGCCTGCTTCTGGAGCAACATTGCTGTTCTGGTTACGTATCCGCCGTACGTTGTCATTGGGCTGGGTGTCAGCATCGCGTCCCAGCTGTTGGCCAGCGGATTTTTGCTACTGATTAACGGGTTTATACTGGATGACACATCGGTGACGAAAGAAACGCGATGGCGCAATTTCTTCATTACGGTGACCTTATTTGCATCCGTGGCGGTTGTCTTCGCTGTGGCGCTGGTGGTATATGATTGGATAAAAGGAGGGCAGAGATTACGGAACAAAGCTGGGATGGTGCCGTCTGTTGTGGCCATGGAAGGAAATGCGGTCCCGATTCCCGGTGAAGTGGTGACGCCGCTGTTAACAGAGCGGCGAACTTCGCTGTGGTATAACGCAGACACGAGTATCAAAATATAAAGATGGAACTTTCAGACGTTCAGCAGATATCTGTGAAAGCGCAGGCTGCCAAAGTTTTCGCCAGCTATTTATAGAGCGAAGATTTTATACTGCCTAAGCAGATAATGAAATACGTATTGGCCTCTGGGATGACCAGGAGTTACTGCAAGTTGTACTGAACTTTACTAACCAAAACTTTGAACTCCATGCTGTAAAGATGTTTTGGTAGCAACTTTCGGATGTTAGCCAATGTGGGCGGAATAAAATCAAACAAAGCTTGGTGGACTGACTGTATGATCAGCGTTATATACTTTTGCTTCTGTTCAACTCTTCCAACCTAATTCTACTTAAAAATGCCTAATACGAGTATACTGCAGTATTAAATTTAGCTGCGAAAAAACCTAGCCGGCCGGCAAGATGCGGTGCGTGATTGCTCGTCTTTTCCATATAGTTTAGTCTGCATGCATTGAACGTTATGGGGGGATAATATTATGGGAGGCCTCTGCATTTCACTGTAGCAGGTGCAGGCTGGTACCCTATTTAAAGTTACCTAACTAATAAAAAGCCCGGTAAACGTTTTGAGTAGCCTCAGTAAGTATTGTATTTTAATCAATTTCTGGTGATCCTTTCCCCAGTTATTTGCTGTGTTCAGTTTCTTTGTGTTGTGTCAGGTTTGTTTTTTGCATTAGCCGTGATAAAATTATATGCTCTAAAGACTAGACTGCAGGACGGAAGGACGTAATTATAAACAACTTCTCATATTAGATGCGACAGCAGGCGGCAAAGGCGAGACACGCGCGTACATTTTCTGCAAGGGTAATGCTCGCGCCGCAGCGGCCACTAGAATCTTTTTAATTCCTATTGTGGTTAATTTTATTACCGAGCTACCACAACTCACCGTGAGTAAAATAACATATGTCGTTTGTTGCATATATAACACATACCGGTATGACCCAGTAAAAGCTGGGTATTTTCTGAATATATCGCTCGAAGCTATTTAACTTCAAGAAGAAAAAGACGAACAAAATACATAAAACGCACAAAGCGTACACAAAACGTTTGTCGTGCTAAGCCTTCATATTTCTGTGCATGCCGGTTTCTTTGCACTGAACATCGTTTAACCACCGACATCGTTACCGGCACACCAAAGGTTGTGAACAGTGTCGCTTGAATTCTGTTTGCTGCCATTTGCTTACAAGAATAAAGGCAAAAAAAAATTTTAGCATGGCCCTTTTGTAACCGCTAATATGCATCGGCGTATTGGTGACGGAGCCGGCAAAGAACGATGGGTGTTCTTGATCTTCAATGGTCTGCATTTCTTCAGTACGGCGCTTTTCCAGGATGAGTTAAGTGGGCTAAACGGTCGACTGCAAGGCACGGTGGAAGATTGTCATAATGGCATGGATACTACGTGCCTCAATTTCACTGCATCGCAGTTTAACGGTATCTATGTCAGCGGTTTCTGGATGGGTTGCATAACATCCATACTCACGGGGTTCTTTGTTGCGCGTTTTGGCGTATGGGTATCCAGTTATTGGACGGGATTGTGCATATTATTCGGATCGTAAGTGCGTAAATCCGGTCGCAAATCGTCATGCTGCACTGTACCAAAGCTTTCGTGTTTGTGCTTTAAAGTTTAAACTGCCAGTTAGTGATTTGCACCAAACAAGCAACCAAAATTACCGATACCAAATAATTTGTATTTTGTTAGCACAATAAAATAGAAGATTCGTGAGTGTGATGCGTTTAACAGGACATTATTTACGCTTGGACCGTACTTATCCAACCAGTCCGCGTTTGCCATAATGTTGATTGGCAGGTACGACAGCACGACTGCAAATACGAACCTTGGACGATTTTCCGATTGCTGCTGTTACTTTAGGTTTAGTGCGTGTATTGGAGTTTATGGCAACTTTGTGGTATCAGGCGAAGTGAAGTCTCATTGGTTTTCCGGAAAAGAACTGGCCCTGTCCTTTAGTATATACTTTTGTTGCGGACGCATAGGTTAGCTCAACCGACTCTCAAGCGTGGTGCAAAACAAAATGCTATAACACTGTGCAAATTATTATAGGATCAATAGTTGCCTTTACTTCCGTGGGTTCACTGTTGGAATCACTGGGATTGCAGAATACATTATGGGTGCTATGGGTTCTGACCCAGGGTGCGACGATTTTTGCTGTTTTGTCGGGTTGGGTGTATCAGAATTACACGTCCGCGAGACTGGACGCCCAAGTGTTGGATGATTCTGCCGCGGTTACCTACAATCTGTACACCTTGGGACATCTCGGTACCAGCTGCTGGTTGATGTGCGGAGTTGTATTCTTCTTTTACGGAGCGCTGAATTCCATGTTGGCCGATGGCACCAAATTCTTCATTGTAAGTTGAAAACTCAGTTAGGCTGTTTTGACGGTTTAGCGTACTGTATCATGCACATTGTTTACGACTATAGCCGAACTTCGAACATTCTTGAAGTAGAGACTGTACAGTTTCAAGTAATTTCCGCAAGCAGTTCCAGTCCTTAGGCTTCAGAGCGGGGCATTTGTTATATACTGTACTTGATAAATTAAACGCATTTCAGCTAACTGCCTGTTTTAAGTTGTTTTATCATCTTCGATAGGAAATGTACAACTACTCGGAAACCAAAGCAGCGATCACAGTCGGTATAATCCCAGATATTGGCCTGATTGCACCGCTATTTGGTTGGCTGATTGACCGCTACGGTTATCGCGACGTGGTGACCTGCGTGGCCACTTTGTTCATGCTGCTGGCGATTCTCCTCATCGCACCAGTACCCGTATCTGCGGTGATGATAATCGGCCTGAGCTGTTTGGCTCTAGCGTACGCTCTGGACATTGCATGCTTCTGGAGCAACATTGCTGTTCTAGTCACGTATCCGCCGTACGTTGTCATTGGACTAGGCGTGGGCATCGCATCCGAGCTGTTGGCTAGCGGTCTCTTGCTACTGATTAGTGGATTTATACTGGATGATACGTCGTTAACGATCGAAGCGCGATGGCGAAACTTTTTTATTACGGTAACCTTATTTGCCGCAACCGCGGTTGTTTTTGCTGTCGTTTTGGTGGTTTACGATTGGATGAAGGGTGGAAAGAAGTTGCGGGAGAAAACCGGTGTGGTGCCGTCTATGGCTGCCGCGGAAGGAAATTCCGTGGCGGTCGATGATGAGATGGCGGCACCGCTGTTAAAAGTACAGCGCAGTGGGCTGCAATATGGTGGGGAAACAAATTAACATGAAATAAACTCGAAAACTGTTATATACGCCATACATGTTCATACGGCCGGTACTCGCTATATACTTCATGCGGTGTTTCTTATGGCGTTCATGCAGCGCTGCTACCAGAAATTTTGCATGAGGTAGGCCTCCTCATACCATTGACTCATTAAGGTTTTTGAATTAATTACGTATAGTACAAATTTAAAATATGGACAGTAGCATTGGTACATAATGCTAATGAGCAGATGTTTTTTCCAGAATCAACAGTTTATTTACCTTCTTTTTTTGCGCACGAGTGTTGAGTCTTGACAAACCTTAAGCACATTGGTATTCATATTGTAACAGCAGCCGGTTTGACTGCTGTTCTAGTGGGTTGGTTAATCCACCTTACCACGATCTGTCGGCTGTTAGTGTGGGAAAGGCTGGCACGGTCGGCAGCGACGCTGACCGGAAGCTGACTACCGTTTACAGGGTGACAAAGATGGGAGATGGACGATCATCCCATGGCGATTACGCAACACAACACAAGGTCATCGCAGATGTTTATTAGCAAGTACACAAAGCAAGATTCAGCGAGGAACGCAAGCTGAGGAGCAAGAACGCATAAGCGTTGAGCAAGAAGCGCGGAAGGCGCGGAGCAAGTTCAGAGCAAGCTGCAGCAAGACTAATTTCAAGATGTTTCTGACCGTGAGATGCGGTCGGTAAAAGTAGGAAAACTAGGATTCTGATCTTCATAACACAACAACCAATAAACAGAGAAAGGTAATTAACACTCCTACTGGCGGTACATCTAATTTCTATCGCTACAATATTCTAATGTATGTAATAATGTATGTTTGAATGGAGCTATAGTCCCACAAAAATAGCGTTGGAATCTTGCGATTTAAGGTGCAGTTCAGAAGCGACACAATGCACGGTGAACCCTTCGTCCAATTTTTGGGGCATCGTCATTGGTAAAGGCGATGATAATCTGAAACACCAATAATAAAGTTACTTCATTTGGTTCTACTTCAATGAAGTAGAACCAAAGTGTTTTAAAAGGACTATTTCCAGTCACAGCGTTATACCGGTGTCGATAAGTAGCCAAGATAATACGCCAACATAATCCACTGCCACGCCACGGGATACCGTGCTTGCGCATCCGGAATAATACTCAGGATTATCGGTGAAGTGGCGAATCCAACAAAATGAATAACAGAAAGGGCACACAGCCCTTTAGCCGAATTGATCCGACGCTCGTTTCGCTTGATACGGCCCGGGTTATTTGAGGCGACAGCTGTTCGCAAGGACGGTGTTGCAGTTGTGCCACTGTCACCAGAAGGCTGTATCGACACATTCTGGGCGCGATTGTTTACAGAGACTCCAACAAATAAAGCAATGTACATCGCGCAAGTCAGCGCCAACGGCAAATATGCACCAAAGATCGAGCTGATCTGGAAACCCGGTCCGGTTCGTACAAAGCAAGTTCGGGTTTTCTCAGAGAAAAAGAATCCACCGTCAGTAATACGATTCCGAAGAGAAAGAGCGATACCGATACACCACGGGATGATTAACTGCATGGTGATTACGGGACGTGTTATCCAGTGCCGGTAACTGAACGGACGAACAACGGCGACAAAACGGTTGATCGCCAACATCAGCAAACCGTACCAGGATGCTTGCAACGTGATGACGTAACCATAGTAAAAATGCAGGCAAAACGTACTGGTAACCGTTACATAGTTCAAGTGGATTAACGGAAGGAGAACAACATTTACAGGCCAGTAAAATGAGGTTATTTGCATCTCTATGATCACCTGATGGAGGATCAGAATGCGGGAACTTGTCAGCTTTTCCAAGTTCTTAGCCATCATTGTAATAATCGAAAGGGAAGAAAACAATAAAAAAATATACAACACCAAAACCGTAAGGCTGAACGATAAAACTGCCGGCGTTATAAAAAACGTAGAAGAGTTGCCCGACTGCGAGATATTCCGCAAATAAGCGGTCAAGCTAAAGTTATTCATTTTCGCGCTCGTGGATTTCAGAGCTGTTTTATCTGTAGATGCGTAATAAAAAGGCAGCGCAGGTTGTTTTCCAGATAAATTATAACTGTGCTGTTATTTCGCATCTTAGTGGAATTTTTTATTACGTTCTATAGCAAGAAATATGTTCGTGATGTCGTCGATGGTAACGGATCGGCAAGGTTTCTGCTTACTACAAATTATCGACCTGAACTTGGCGCTCCGGGGCCGCCGCTCCCATGTCAAGATGTAACGGAAAATTAATTCCGCTTAAGCCGTAGTATAATCCACGAAAGAAAGAAGACATCTAAGAGCTTTCACAAAACGATGCCATCTTTGAAACAGCTTGCATAATAGCCTGTTTGGGTGAAATAATGTCTAGTGGTAATGGAACTAGGAAGCATCGCTCCAACATATTTTATGCTTACCAGAAGCCGCGAAATAATCTCGGCTTTTGGTTTACTCTGCGTCGTGATAACATGTTGTGACATATACCTAATGCTATCTTCATCTCAGCATATCGATCTACGCGCACCGTTAATACATATAAAATCTTCGTGTTCGGACTACTTTAGTGCTCGAAATATGAAGACCAGACAAAAATTGAGTACTTTGACTTTTCTTACATTATACGTTTCCATAAACTGGTCACCGCTAATGTGGCGCGCTACTTTTGTAGCCGTCGATCGCGTACTCTTGTGTATCTGGTCTCGAAGTTTCCAGTTTCGTTGTTTGTTTATGAAAACCTATCGATGATCTTCGTATCTTACGCGTTTTCGATACGTAAAACTGGCTGGGTCAACGGCCATAATGCTCCTTTTGCTATCAGATATTCGCAAAACAAGATACAAAACTCATAATTTTAATTTCACAGACAAAGAGTATTGCTGACAGAGAACGGAATATGGGCACATCGCGATTTGCGTATTTTCATAATTCCTTCCGCTACACACTGCATAATTCCCGCACCGCAGTTTATTTACATAGAAAACACTTTTTATACTCACAACAATAAGCGACCTGGAGATAAAATTAATTTTAAGTAGGTACTAGGTAGCAGGCATAGTACGCAAAGACAAAGATTCTACGTAGTAAGTAATTTTTCACTTAGTACTTATTGCTTGAGATGGTTCCTTTTTGTTATTCAATGACGTATTAAGTATAGAAACCGAGAAAGTTTGCAAAACAAGCAAAGAAGTACCACAAAAGGGTTACTTCACATTTCACTGAGAAACAAAACACCCGTGAAAAACTGCACTAAGCGGAATTGACAGTACATATTGGATATTGGCGAGGTTACCACACTGCGATCATACTGTCAGCATCTTTACAAGTTACTACCAATGCACTCAGCCGCCTGCCGTTGCAGTTCACCCAGTCCGTGTTCCCGTGCAAAATCAAAGTACTCCATCGCGTTGTCTTTTTTCACATCCGCTAGCATCATTTCCTGACAAGCACACTGCAACGCCGGCATCTCGAACAGTTCCGCCACCATCCAGAATTCCACCAATCGTCCGGCCAGCCGCATCGGCATCCGATCGTACAGGTACTGCACCAAGGCCTCCAAAAGATCCGCGCTGAGGTCTATCAGATAACAGCTAGGCGGATGCTCCTGCTCCTTGTCAAACAATTCCAGGAAGACGGGTGAAGCGGCCGCCAGGATAGCGCGATGCGCCGGGAAGGTCCGTCCATCGCTGGAGAGCAGCGTGCAGTCGGTGAGCTTGCCGGCATCCAGGAGGCTTTTCGGAGTGGCCGAATCGCGATGGATCTGAAAGGCCATGGTGAGGTACACCATCCGTCCCGACTGCAGACGTTTCGAAGAGCCACCGATTTTCCGCGTGAGATCGGTTTGCACCATATCGCTGAGAAACGGCCACTCGGAGTCTGTATTGAGATATTCGGCTGGTTGTGCGCCTGCTGGCGGCAGCCTGATGGTGAATGGTGTTGAGCTTGAGCTGCAATAGAAAGCCATTATGGTTTTCGCCGGTTTGCTCAGCTCAACTCTCAAATAAATTAATAACTTACAAATGCATTTTACAACTTCGGTAAGACAGCTAAGTAAGCTTAATTGACTTTTTATATGCGTGCATTTATACGTACAGTACAAACTATAGAAGTAGAAAACGGGCCAGTCGGCAAATGCAAAAAACCGATAGAGGTGCAAGAGATGTACGCTGCAGTCACTGCCATAGAAAAATCATACTACTCTGTACAATGTCTCTTTTTAATTCACACTTTGCTGATGTTAGACGCTTGTCATCGTAGCAACGTATGAATTTGTTTGAATGCGTTTTAAAAACGAAGAGAAACTTCGTAATGGCGGTGACCTTACCTAAGAAGATATTGTACAAAGACGCCATGCGGACTCTCGGAGAAATCGGTGTTTTCCAGTTCGTAATCGACAGTGGCGTTTTCCCGGCAGACGTAGAGGCTGAGCTTCCAGTGAGATTCGGGAATCTCCGGATAGCCGGGCTGGCGTTCCACGGTAAACTCCGGGGATGTATACCGGAGCGATGGGTCGCAGGTGCGTATCGCACCATTGATACCGGTACTGGTAGTGGTCTCCTCACTCACAATAAAGGCATCCGTGCAGAATTTATACTTTAGGATAAGCAGGGATTCGCGACCTTGGAACGACATGGCTGCACACGTATCGAAAGCGGAGAAGAAAAACTGTTGATTTGATGGAAGAAAATGATAAAGTTTAAACTTTTGCCAACGAGTGAAATCTTCATGAAGTCATTCAGTAAAGGCTGACACTGCATCGCTTCCAGACGCTTTATAAAAACGAGCGCATACCATACGTGATCGCGTTGCGAGTGGTTTATAGGAATTCGCGACCGTGCTTCGATTAATTAACTGATAATATCCGGGTCAAGGTCAAACTATTTAGGGTATGTTAATTAACCAGGAGCTCTTGTATTTTATGGCCGCGCAACCGCGAATCGTGTTACAAAACAAAGTACCGGATAGATTACAGTAGTAAAATATATACCGTACTGTACCACCTAGCCGAGTGGAACCATTACTTATTTGGGTGATTTCAATACGTAATGGCCAACATACAAAAACATTCACAATTCTGCCGCGCAAAAACTAAAATTCGCATGCGTCTCAGACGGATTATAATCCTTGTGGTCCGTGCCCACGATATCTCGGCACACGAACCCGTCGTCCCGCACGAGCACCACGCGGTGGTGTCGGACCACGATGACGGTATGGATGAACCTCGTTGCCAAAGCGGTTCCAGTCATAATCCAACGGATAACCAGCTGGCGGACTTGCAAAACCGAAACAAGGAGGAGGACAAGATTGATGAGCAGGAGCTCGCGGTCGAGAGGACGCCGGAACCCTGAGGAGAGTGCGCCGCGGTGCCGCAGACCGGGTGACGAACGGAACAGCATGAGATCGCGGTTTCTCTTCTACGAAAGACGCAGAAGATTTGTTGAATACCGTACAGCACAAAGTTTTACAAAAACTTGAAAACTGACTGTATAATCTCGTCAGTTACAAATCAAATAACTACATATAACTATAACAACGTACAAATCAATTATTAAGCACCAGTGCACCATACCGAGATCGTTTTATACACACAACAGGTTATTTCGAATTGTTAATTACAATGTAGGTCCATAAAAAATCAAAATCCGCCCTTCATAGATTTTGCAATGAAACCCACAAACGGTGTGAAACAAGTTCGCTTGCAGTTGGCATAAACGGCCAACGCTGAATTCGAATAGAGAACCGCTTGCCTGCGCGATATGCGTTAGAGCAAAGCATCTAGTTCTTTTCATTCTTAGTACTTTTGGCTGCAACAACTTACGTGGGCTCGGTAGAGCTGGACTGGCTTGTCCAGGAGTGGTGGCACTGCAATATTTTGGCGGTATTTCGGCCGAAGTTTCTCGAAGGGTTTCTGGCTGCGTAGACCCACGGCTTTTCCCTTTGGCGATTCTTCCCGGAAGTTTCGGTGGAGCATCACTGTGACGACTGTCATGGTTTTTGCAAACCGGAGACACCGCCGGTTCCTCCCGGTTATCAGGCACTACAGCCTGGACAAACTCGGTCACGTTCCCTCGGCGTTCATTGTCAGCCTCGACTTCAAATGGCACATCGTCACTCCATACGTGTTTGTGAACGGCTACCTGTTTATCGTTTGGTAGTATATTTGTACCAATACACATGGCAAAGTATCGCCAACTTTTTCCAGAGTGATGTTTTTCGGTTCCGTAACATCACCAGACGCCGCAGTAGTTGAGGGCTCAGGTATAAGAACAGACATCATATCAGCGGACGAAAGAGAATCCCTAGCGGTTTCCTCCGAAACGGCTGGTGTAGATATGCTATCTTTCGAAGGCGCAACGGCTACTGATTCCGCAACGGGATCTTCTATCGTATCGAAAGACAAAAGAATGTCTCTGATCTTTTCCGAAACGGCTGATAACGGAGGCGCAACAGCGGTACCGTCAGAAGGCGGAGCACCGGAGTCGAGCTGCTCGGGAGCGGTAGTGGGCGGACTAGAGACCCGCTGCACCGCAACCGGCGTTTCGCCTTCCGTACGGCAGCGTTTTCTATGTGATGTCGTTTCAGCTAATGAATTCCGCTTAATATTAATATCTGCATGCTGTTGCCGTGATGATACCGCGCCACAGAAATTCGTATTCATAAAAAATGGAAGTTTTGGAGGGGTTCCCGCGTTCACAGCTGCAGCGGTGCCAGTTCCAGATGCCGGGTCGGAGGTTCCTGGTGTCGAGAGCGTTAATGGCTGTAGTGTTTCCGCGGACTCGCTTTTAAGAGCTGTGAATAATGGTACACGGAAAGCGCTTAGAGGTGAGCTAATATCAACACCGGTATCCATTTTCTGACAAAGGGGAGGTCCAGTACTGTTTGCGGCAAATCGGAATGGTGATGCCGATGAAAGGCTGCAAATGGGATTGTTGATACTGGAGATTTTTTCACTATTTTGCGGCGCAGATATTCCGGATGTACGAAGCGGGAACGACAGCTGACTGGAAGTTTGGGAAAGTATACATCTAAAGTTTTCTCGGTTTGCGAATTGTTGAGCGGGTTCTACACACGTCGAAAAACATTATTAAACTTGATTTCTCCGTTATCGTGGCCACCGGTTTTCGCAGTTCTAGAAGCATTACCTATCCGTTCCGGAGCACTCGCTCTGCGCGGAGGTATTTCTTCTGAAACGGGATTATCGTTCACAGCTAGAGGAACGTGGCCTGGAGAAACAGTGCTACAGGAAGTGCTGTTTGGAGACGACACTGCCGATGTCGCTTCTTGGGCAGCAACGTGTGTATTCGATCCACCTGGATCAACACTCATTTCGTCGTTCCCTGACTGAACCTGCAATCGCTGCTGTAACATGGTGAACTGTGCATTCTTCTGAAGTAACTCCTCGGCGTGAGCAGCTTTTTGTGTTCTCAGTTCGAGTATTTCCGCCTTTAGTTTGCAATGCTCACGCCAGGCTGCCTAGATAAACATGTCAGTTGCAATTCAAAATGCAATAACATTACTGCCGGCATTTCACCTCAAGCTTTTCAACTGCCGCACGGTGCTCACTCTCGGCTCGCTGGAGATTTCTTTTAAGGTCCATAGTGTACTCCCGTTCCTTGTACATGTTCAGTTCCGCCATCCTAATTTGTAATTGTCCACTCAAACCTTCCTTGATTCTTTCTTTTTCGACACCAAGTTCGGCCACTGTTCTTTTCAGTAAGTTTAGCTCCGTCTAGTAAAGCATTTACAGTGTACAGTACAGGTACCGCTACAAGTACCCTTCTATGTACAGTAGCCATAGAGCCATAGAGCAATTGTACAACCTCATAATCATAATTATCATAAGTATTAAAAATTGTAAATTTATAACTGAGAAAATAAATGATATAATAAATTTAAAAATTCACAATTTTTCTGTTTGCGTTCACAATAAATTTTATTATCTCCTGTACCTAACTTATAATCGCGAATAGGTTGTTTTTGTTTCATGTCCATATTGCGTAACAGCTTCAGAATGCCAGTTATGAATTCGTATCCTTATTACGATTCCCTAATAAATGTTATACAATAACAATGAATTGTAGTCGGACTTTGGAGCGGAGCCGCATGGGACAGCTAACCACCCGTATGTACGACTGACCAGTGGTGAGTTTCCGTTTCAAATTGCAGTTCACTGTACATGCGATATGTACAGTATGAAGCGGCCTGATGCAAATTTAACGATACATATATATGCAGATTGTAGTGCACCATATTATCGTATCATGATGATTCTGCAAGCATCCTGTCGGTTCTTATTACGGTTCAGTTTTATTAAGTAAATTCTTGTCGATTGACATAATTACCTAAGTGGTGCTACCGTAAGTACCTCTTGTTCACCCGTGGGCGCACCGTTGTCCATCTCCGCATCTTCCTTCAAATTAACTACGTCGTACTCATCACCCTTAGACGTAGCCGGCTGATTTTTGATCTGCAGATTTTCAATCTCTTCCTTCATTTCTTCTTTCTGCTGGACCGCATGCCGGAACATACTGGCTGCAAATTCCGATGGATTGATTCCGAATACGGAGTCCGTCAGCACAGGGATACCGGTCGTGTGATCTAAGTGATCAGACGTGGCGGGTAATGGCAGAGGATTCTCCCAGCCTTCTCGTCGGCCGTTTTTGAATATAGAGCGTTTCCGTTGGATTATCCGTTGATAGACGGGGGAATTAAACGGACTCTCCCAGTATTCCGGTCGCGTAATCTCCATGTAGGCCGACACATTACCCGCGGTGGTCGCGGCATACAGGAGCGCAATTCGCTCCTGTGGATCGCTGATATCCTTTAGCAGGTGCATGTAGCACGGCATTTTATTGTGCTGACATCGCGTGCAGTTGGCGTTGAATTCGTGGTTCGCCATGATGGCGTGGGATTGCATTGTATCTGTTACTATCTATGTTAACTTGCAAGTTGCAGTTTTGAATCATATGCGCATCATCAGCGTTGTTGAACGTTTATAGTACAACAAATATACAAGTACTGCAATGTTGGTGCAGTTGCAAGTTACGCAACTATCCAGTTCGCATGGTACAACACCGACGGCAAGCGGGAATACTTCAGAAGTGCAGAGTGTTAGCATGCAGGAAATCAGAACAACAGCAGTGCTTGATGCGGTACTTGACTGTTATGAGCACGAACCGGTTGGGAGTAACTATCGACTGTTTAGTCACATCAGAAAAATTTAGATACGTAGGTACAAAGTATTTTTAGCCGGCAGTACGGACTTTTTTGAGTGCTCTACAAGCCTGGCGGCTGGCATAGCAGGAAAAAGAAAAGATAAGCAAGATTTGTTTACGGCTTTACGGCTGAGTTTACGCACTGCAGTAAAGTTTGTAGCAATCTGGAAAGTTACTTGCGAGTTGCGATTGTACAGTACTTACTTTGCACTATGATTAAACTATGATTGGTAATATTTTTGGCTGCAGGGCGCCATCAATGCATCCTCGTACAGCGTATTATGTGTTAAACAATTTTTTTATATTAACTTTTAAACTATAGTCACATGGATCGTAATACAGTAATATCCCGGAACTTAAGCAACAGAATCATGCATAATTAAATGCAGGGGAAACAGAATACGGTGATACGGCTTGTGGGACCAGAACTCCGGAAGTAACATCAACTTGTAGAGTACAAAAATTGGTTGGTCTTGGAAGGAAGAATCTTTGATTAGAGTAAGTTGCGGCGAAGGCTCGATCTACATACGAAGTGGACACACGACAGCATTTCGCGCTATGTGTGTTATGCGCGAGAGTACCTTGCGCTATGAGTTCAGACTAGGCGCGAGAGTTTTTCAGCGCTATCAAAATCAATGAGGTAATATTGCTGCATAATTATTTTCTAACATGTCTTGAACTAAAATAATAGGAAAGTCATCTATAAAAATTTAAAAATATATTATTGTGCCGGCACCAGCGGTTGTAATTGTCCTGACCGGTGTTTTTGCTTATCTGTTCTAGTAAACAGTACCGTAGTAATTAGAGCCACAATATGGTATTCGGAATTAAAGTAGACAACAAAATGAGTCTTACGCTGTCCAACTTCGGGCTATTAGAAAATGGACTGAGCCAACCCATCAGATATTTGTTAATCCCGGCGGCAATGCAAAAACATCTAAATCGCGTCCCTTGCCCAACTGATTTCCATAGAGTTCATCAGGCTGATACACAACAAAGCTGGAGCTTATCGTACCTATCGACGAAATTCATTACCGGCGAAGACGAGCATCACCATGCACCACTCAAAAAAAGCGAATGAAAAGCGGTTATCCGCCTTAAGGTATATAAAGTGAATGGCATGATGGAGTCTGACTTGCCGAATCTGGAAGACCATAATCACGAGGTATCGGAGACTACAGCACAGCACCTTCCAGAAAGGAAATGACTGTCCGCTACGGATAGAAATATTGTGAAGCCTAATCCTTAGTCGTGCCACCGCAAATAACAGCCAGTGCATCGTGCCGGTCGAGCGGTATATGAAATTCTTACATAATATCTGCAGAAATAAACCGCGACAGCAGGATCCGACCGGCACGTACGATGTAGTCGTGGAGGACGACGAAACTATTGCGGACTGTGTTCGCCTTGACTTAGCTATGTCATTCAGGGGCAACCCCGAGGTAACGCTGTATAACACATGATCTTGCTAAATAGATTCCTCAAAGCGCGCCTGCTTTTGGTTCAAGGTGATTTTCTCAGCCCCGAACGTCCTGGTGAAACCCAAGCTTCTCATTCCGCAAGGCTATTCGCAAAATTACCGGACAGTGCGGATAAACTTGTGCACGGTTTTATTTTAACGAGTCTGTCTGCATCCTGCATGAAGATATCGAAAACCCGAAGACCAATGGCTCAGATTTTGAGATGCTATACTAAATGCAGGAACGTTCTTTTGACGCCAAGCATTCCCTAACAAAGACGGGCTAGAACTTACGGCAGAGCTTGCCCTTTATTAGAGCGTCGATCAGGGCTACGCTAGAGTCAAGTTTATTCTCCGCATAAAACATAATGGTTTTTTATGGTGGCAGTCATTACGTTTGCACCCTGCGAAGGGGAGAAACTCTAGACATGACGATAAAAATAATTCTGAGGTTGTGTCCGCTTTACAATATATTGTAAAGCGGACACAAACTTACAGCTTACAAAAATTTAATAAGTTCAGTCTATGACCATTTTATTCCGTCGGATTGCCTTCCATGATCTTTCATTGGCACGACGAATAAAATCCCTAGCACCGGGCCCAACGGTATATTGCAGCTCTTACCGGTTTCGTTGGAAGCATGCGATACGTTTGGCTTCCACTATAACACAGCGATTCGGGATGCCAAACTTCTTGACGCAGACCTTGGTGACAAAATATTATGGAGCAGCGCACGTCACGTTATATTCGTTTATTAATTGCAGTTGATAGAAAGCTCTTATTAATTTGTTAATTGCTACCGGATATTTGACTTTAGTTGCTATCTTTGATTTAAATAATTCAACGTATTTGTGAACTTGAAGCATGTTACACTGAGAACATAAACAAGCAAAGGCGGGAGGGCCCACGCCTACATGGTTTGTTAAATTTTATGGATAAAAATGCTGTCAGGCAAACGTAAGCTGTAGTAAGTGTGGTATAAGCGCGGCAGCTCACACTTGTATGGAAAGAGCGTGAATGTTGATCCGCTGCAAACAATTTTGCTAAGGCAATAATTCGCTGTCTTTGTTGACTGTAGTATTCAGTTTATTATGCACTTTTCCGAAGGCTTCTCATAATATTCATCAGGCCAAACTCCGTCCTGCGAAAACAGCTCTGGATGCAAAACAACGCTCTGCTTGGAGGAAAGTACTACAGCTTCGCGAGCTTGCTGACGCAACCGGTAATCAACTGAAAATTGGCAACATGTCCTTATGGTTAGTGTGCAACAAAATTCTTTCGGTTGCCGCGAACACGGTATACCAATATAAGGCGATTCTATAAAGAATCGTCAAGCAAAAGGCAACCTGCAATACCGGTACAATACGTACGAAGGAAGACAGATACTGTCGGAAGAAGGCTCCTGCTGGGTTCCTTATACATGTCTGCACGCTTAATGTACAATACATGTATAAGGGCATGTTCATGTAAGCTTATTAATGTACTTGTACATGTATAAGTACCTGATACTATGATGACTTTCATCTTCTGGTTTACGTCTTGGGTGAACAAATCGTGCAGTTGCTGCAGGATTGCCTTATCCGCCTTATTTTTTTGATACCACATATTTCCTTCCCAGCAATACTGAATCATAACACCTAGTATACGATTTGAGTTTTTAACGGGTTTGTCACTCATGTCATCTAGGTTAATTTTACTCTGACGTTTGGTGAAAGCAATAGTCTGACCTTCAACTCTTGTAGGAACAGTGCTCCCAGCACTCCAGGTTTCCAGGATTTCTGAACTGCAGACTTTAGCAGCGTGAATGCACTTGTTTTGTGAGCAGCGGTTGTTACCATCGAATCCACCACAAATAATTTTGATACTATATTTTTCCCGTAAATCGACTCCGTGTTGTGAAGCGATGCCACGCAGGTGATTCGCACATTGTTCAAAACTGGCACGTTTGGGAATCGTGCATCGTGCGTTTTCCATATCCCAGAAGAGTCTCACGGGTCGCTCACGACGAGTAAACAACCATTTTATCACAGCAACCAAGCCCCGGCACACAATTATAAGTGTGATAATCATCAAAGACCACAGCACAATATCGTCCAGATCATCACCATGATCATCTTCATCATCGTAATCATAATCATAATCATCATCACTTCGTCGCCACCGTCGGCTCATTGTGAATCGCAGCTAAATTGTATCAGAAACCCAGTAAACTACGCAGCCGTTAAATCTTGATTCCGGTTTTAAGTAGCAGTGGTGTCTTGTTGTTTTGGCAGTCGCGGAAACACCGTACCGGCAGGTGACGACGTTGCTTTAGTAATAAGTCGCTAATAAGTAGTCAGCGTTACTTTGGTAAACGGACAACCGGTTCCCCATTATTGTGCGTATTATTGCGTTTGTGGCTCTGTGCTTCCAGACGCGTGATGTCTGATATTTTGTGCTCTGACTATGACTGAATAGGAAGAAAAAAAGCCCCAAGCGCTTCTATAAAATATGTACGTATCTGTACGTAGTTGCCGCAGTGTGGTACATCATCCTAAACTGTTTGTTTAAGTACTGATTATTTTGTCACTGGCAGTAAATTATGGTCATCTCAAATAATGATTCTGCTCAAGATTACCCGCCGCACGTTCGTAATTGCAGGAAATTCGTCCACTTTAGGCGAATTTATAATAACATCTACGCCATTTCCAGTGTGGAAATGGTGTGTGTTACTCTGTCTTTCAAAAATGCAGCGGAAGTGTTTGACATTGACGTTGACCGCCCAATTTTTATACTAATATTGTCTTCAGAAAGTTTCTCTCTCGCATGGGCACATAGAATTTACAAAGATAATTACCAGGGTACTGTAACTGCTGGAGTTTACCTGCAGGCTGCAGTATATCCAGCTGCCCGATTCGACAGTTTTTGCAGCTGCATATTAACAGCTTTTACCCCGGTATACGCATAGCGGTCATTTGAAAAGCGCCCATGTTTATAAGCTTTATTGCTAAACTTGTTTATATGCATGATGCGTTTTGTTAGAGCTTGTTCAACTGTGTGTGTGTGCAGGGATGAGTACATTATGGCTTTGGCCATAACGCATGCCAATCTAATGTAAGGGATTGTTCTCGTGTTTATTGTCATTATTGTGAAAGTTACCGAACTTTCTGGAGTCGATGCAACACGGTTGCAATGAGATACATATTATAAGGTGTTATTCTGCTACGTATAATATCGATCATTCCAGCGATCGGTCTACCATTTCCTGTTGCTTTCCATCTCATTGTTATTCCTGTTTATTGTGTGATTGAAGTTGTAGTTAATAAGCAGGTTGCGGTATCAACGAAGGGGTACGATTGACGATAGAATTAACGACGGGGTACGATTAACGAACGTTTAAACGGCATTACCCGTCGTTATTAACGAAACGAAGGGGGTATCGTTTCGTTAATAACGACGTTGAAATTCAGTAATGAACGACTGGGCTTACATAGACCATTGAGCACGAAGACTGCATAGGCGAGGCGAGACAGTCTACCCAGTGAATTTCTGCCTGGGCACTCAATCCTGAGTTGCCCACTCGACTCGAATTTTTCGAAAATCGTACCAGTCTCGACAGTTGCTCTGCAGTCAGTTGGCTTTTTGCCAGCTACTTTGAAAGCAGAATAATTTACGCTTTCATAAATGTAACAAAAAATTATTTCAAAAATCAAAACACAGTTGCACAAATACAGTACTTGTTTCAGGAGCTTATGTTCTACAGCAACTTTGTAACCATCTTTCAAGTGCAACTGCAAGTTACGCATTCTAGAATGGAAAATGACAGTTCTTTAGAACGTCTGCGCGAAAACTTTATCCTCATTTCTTTCTAACGTGTGTATACCATATAAAAAAGATCTACTTTGTTATTAATTTTTATGCTGGTCAACGAAATTATTTTGAAATTGTACAAAATATTGGACGGAGAATGTTTGATACCGACAGTAGTTCCTGGCGTTAATATCAGGAGCAGTAAATTGTTTAGTTCATAACGCAACCTCCTATTCGAATCAACGGAACGTTAAATTAACAACGCCAAGATCGTCGTTAATTTTGCCGTTAATCGTACGGCCGTGCAAAACGCAACCTACTTAATAACTTACTTTCGGCTTCCGTTAGCACAATACGAGTATATTTCGCTCATATAAGGCACTGGTCCCTTTCACAGCTAGTTGGCATATTTTGTGTATGTACGGTACTGTTGTCTACCTCGTTACTTTGTTTAACAGGAAAATAATATAGGATTTTGCAAAGTAACGTTCAACATGTTACTTTTGAACACCATGACTTTGGGCAAATTGGATCTGCGGGCGCACTAGTTTTGCCATTTCCGGCTGTAGCCGCAGTAGTTCATCCACGAAATCCTGTTGCTCATTTACAATTATGTGGTCTTCGTTGTTGCTTTGTAACTCCCATCTGTCTGCAGCTAAAAATTTGCTTTCATTTGCTGTTGTAGAGATTACTCAAAACGGAAAAATTCGATGGCCTATAGAGGCTGTTTTAGCGGCATCCCTTCTACGTATGAAAAAACGGTAGCGTACCGGTTGCGGTTTTTTATAGGAGGAATACAAAGTCTCACAACAGACATTCCGTTTACTCTACTGCTCCAGTCATCTGCCCAGAGTTTTGCGTAATGGCTGCCCCCAAAGCTTTCGCGTCGTCATAATTTGCATTTAACACGACTTCACGATAAAGCTCAACGAGCTGCCGGCTCTGGTTTCTTAAAGCACGGCGAACATAAGCGTTCAGTCCATCGTGCTTAGGCAGGCGTACTGGTGGAACTTTTACAGCGGAGGCTATGTAGCTCACCAACCAGAGAACCCCATACTGTACACAGCTATGTGGAATCACGATCGGAGCCGCTATCCGAAGAGTGACCCTGACCGGTAATGTGGTGTCTTCTACCAGGTTGCCCAGTCAATAGGCCACTTCCTATGGTCACAGTATGGTGTAACGCGTACAGTAGTCAACTTGGTATGTGAAGCCAGGCAGACTTGAGTGTGACACGCTTTCTGGACATGATGAACTGCTTCCGCTGGTAGACCAGGTGACCAGGAGACGGAGCGACAACAAAGGAAGTCCTAGCGCGTATATAGCTAGAGCTTTTAGTTTCCCCAACGGCTCCGCAGGTGGACTCTACCCGCAGTACTTGAAAGATATGCTGAACCGCAAAGACGCAATCCCAACATTGTTGTACCTCGTGCTAACGAAATTTGTGAACATCTTTGCTGCAGAGAAATTACCGAAAGACCTCCGGGAATCTTTTTTCGGAGTAAGATTGATCGCGCTAGCAACGAAAGACGGTGGAATGCGCACGATCGCCATTCTGCATTCAGAATGATAAGTATCCTTATCTTTTCTTGCCTCAGAGTCAGGAGATCTTCAAGTCATAATGGGCAAGAATATAATTTAATATGGTGTAGTAAATGCCAGCCATCAATCCATTAAGCGGCATTTATTAACATCCGTAATGTCACAAATACTTAGATGAAGAAAAAAAATCAGATTTTCCTTGCGGCCTTGCGAGATTTTTCCTGACGGAGCGGTAAGTATTACATTACGTATATTGCGTTTTAGTATCGCAAACTTAGTTTTCGCGCTGTCTGTGACCTAGCTGCTTTTTAAACTACACAAAGTTTCCTTACACTTGGCAGCTGATGACATAAGCTCCAAACCTCACGATCAATGGTGTACTTCCCCCACAAAATGAACACAAACCTACAACTCTGCGATTTTTTTTTAGCGCGCTTAAACATTCAGTCCATTGGTTAGCCGGAAATCATTTTGTTTATTTTTATTTTTATATTTATAAGCGCACGATTATGACGAGAATGAAGTATCTTCAACTCTGAATGTCGAAAATTTTTACACCGTAATATTCTTTAGCACTATAAAACCGGAATGGGTTAAGTGACTCAAGCTTAACAGGAAACATTAGACACTGTGTCTCGTCGTAGTATCGGTTGTAGTGCTGGTGGTGTCCGTCGTTGTATCAGTTGTAGTGCTGGTAGTGTCCGTCGTTGTATCAGTTGTAGTGCTGGTAGTGTCCGTCGTTGTATCGGTGGTAGTGCTGGTGGTGTCCGGCATCGTAGTATCGGTTGTCATTAGGCTACCTGGGGCCGGGACGGTCATTACAAAGTTGACCAGCATGAGCAATCCCAGAAAGCGTATAGCCATGGCGTAATTTACAAGATAATGGAAATCAGCTTTACACTTACAGAGTATGATGAACGAAGTTAGAGATTTGTTCAGTGTTTCTGCGTGTTTAACATAATATTATGTTATCAGCGCTTGCTTTTATTAGTCGGCAGTGGTAAGTATCAGGAATGCTGACTGCTTTCAAAGAACCGAAACCTCTCCACTCCGTGAACGAAATTTTTAATATTTTGTGGAAAGTGCACTCCAAATAGTTTTTGTGAAGTGGACCAGTCTGGTCAAACGTTATAATGATTTTGCTGGCAAAGCAAATTCGACAGCCTTCAGCGTGAAGTCAGGTAATAGTTTGCGGAAAGTTGTCGTTGCTTTATAGCGTAAGTGGTGGAAATTTAAAGCGTTTCCGGAAACACCGCAAGGGTAAAGCTTCAAATGAATCCGTTTTGTCGGCAAGATAAGTATCTTAGTCACTGAAAGTGGATGAAGTAGACAGCGGCCGTGCTACGGTTTTATATAATGCTAACTACAGACATTAGATATAGATATATCATATCTTATTAAACCGCACCATCTTGCACCAATAAGAAACGAAAAAAAAGTTTTGTTTCGTCGATCTTTATTTCGACGTCTCCGCGTCGCTCTCGATGTCATACTGTCACGATGCACCGCAAAATCCTTCCATTTAGGCTACTCGGGTAATCGTTGCATCGAATTTATGACTTTTCAAAAAAGAAGAGTTTTTTTTCTTAACTTCAAAAATATTTTGATAATTCTAAGTCATGCTACAACAAAATACCTGTAAATATCTAAGTTTTTGTCAAGACGGTCAAGTTGGTGGTGTACATAGGTAAAATGTTACTGTCGTTCAGTTGACCGCGGAAAGTCATTTAATGTTTCGGTACTAGAACTCGAATTGCCGTTGTGATATCCGGTACCAGACTAGTCAGCGGAGACATCGATTCTGTAGTTACGATATTAAATTCTCTGATCTCAAAGTCTATACGTAATTACGTACCGGTACATACACAGATTATAAGTAGCGAGGTGTAAATAGAGAATAAGATATCGTGTACTGTAGACGGTACGTACACAGTATACCGCAGAGTGTGTACACACGTGACGCTGTCGAACAAGCTGTTTCTAAGGGCTGTTAGTTATCTCAGTCCTTTTCGAATCCCTTATAAATATCCGTACCTTCGTTTTGGTGTGGCGTTGAGATACGAGTACATGAAGCAAAAATTTGCAACAGGCGCAGATTCGGTATGCACTCATGGTATTTGAATGTTGTATGCAATATAAAAAATTGCAATGAAAGCGTTGTGCCTTGATATTAAGTAATATTTAATAACCTGACAATAATTATGATCAAACCATTTTTATTCTAAAAATCTCTGCTTACTTAACTGCAACTATGGAAGCCAGTAGAGAACTTGCCACTTTGCCAGTACGATATAGTCCAAAGAGTTCACGACTTCATGAGTTTATGTCGATGAGGTCGAGGACTTTATTAAGCTACGAATATACTCGTGTTCTTCTATAATAATTATTATTCTGGCGATCATCGTAACATGGTGCTGTTTGTACGGTGGGGCTCACCACACTGCAACTTAAAAGAATGTTTTTCGATGATGCGGTAAACTGGGATTTTAATCGTGAATTTACATGGGTTCTTTCCCTCTTACGAGACGCTTAATTAATGTGTTTATTAATGATTAAAGAGTGAGCCTTGCATGTGGCTGTGTTTCTGTGATTGTAAGATTGACCTTTCATTAACTGAGCATACCATCCGTGAACAGTCGTACTTGGCACGTGGACCGCGTGACAGACATCCAGTTCAAAAGCACAACTCGTTTCTCTTTTAATATGAAAATAATCACCAGGAGCCAGGAAAGAAAGCCTATAATTTTTGTTTCTACATCATCTGAGCACATAATCGTCTTGGACCCATCAGAATTGCACAGTGCAATGCCGTTACGTCGAATGAATGCGCTAACATAATTTGTTGAACCAGCACAGCATGCAGTTTTTTAACTCTTAGAAATTTTCTTCCCAAGGACAGGCTAATGCCAGTTTAATGTCAATCTGAACCTGGCGGCCCACCACCAGCCACGAAGACCTCCGCATTTGATTCGCAATCTTTTTGATCTTGAGAGTTCGGGCGGCAGCACTCGCATGACAATCCCTCACTGACAACACAAGCTCTGCGAAGCGGTTTATTGCAACTTGAATCCGTCGAGTATGCATCTGTACAGCACAATATTAGGTATTCGACTGATTGTATAACAATTATTAACAACGACAAGCTGCACAATTCCAGATTTCTTAGCATAATGCAGCTTGGCATTCTTAGAATTTCTTATTATATTATTATAAAAAATAAGGGGTCGGAACCAGCTTTATGACGTGTTAGCGCCGTAAACCAAATCTTGTACTTTAATGCGATAGCACAGTGTAGTTTCCTGAAAATTCTGCTCTGTTATCGCCGAAAAAATGCAAACATTATAACGCAAGTAACCTTTTAGACTTCGAATTAAATTATAACCGAATATTTATTTGAATGCCCGTTTTCTGGTTACTCATCCAGTTACCTGATTCCGGGAAGGTCATTACAAGAATGGCCAACATGAGTAACCCCACCAGGTTAGCTGTCTCTTTGCGCAATGCCATGGCAGAATTTAAGCACAGGATATCAGTAATTACATAGCTTTAAAGTTGTGATGAAAGAACTACAAGATTGATTCACAATGTATCAGCGTTTCAAATCATAATAATTAACTATGCTTGCACAGATTGCTTTTATAGTCGGCAATGATCAGTGCTAGGAATTTCGGTATGCTGACTATATTCAAAATATCTGCACGTCGTGAAAGGAATTTTTAATATTTTGGGGAAAGAACACTCCAGATGATTTCTGTGAAGTGGACCCGTCTGGTCGAACGTTATGCTGCTTTGCTGGCACTGCAAATTCGACAGCCATCAGCGTGAAATGGCGGTAATAGTTTGTGGAAAGTTGTCGATGCTTTATGATGATGTTGACGGAAATATAAGAGAGTCTTCGGGAAAACAGCAATGGTATAATTTCAAGTGGGTCCGTTTCGTTGAACGTCTATCTGATTAAATTAATTGTGTTTTTTCAAGATAGCTCAGTCGTTATATCTTCAAGGGCGGCACCTAACCAGCATCAACAAAATGTTTTCTTAAAACAGAAAAATAATTTCTTTCTGTCTTTGTCGATGCGTCAACCTCAAAACACACGACAATGTGCTGTATATTGTTCACGGTTAGCTAATTTACACAATCGTCGCGTCGAATCCATGGCTTTCAGAAAAAAAGTCTGTAGATTTGCATCTGTATCTGTAGATTTTGTACAGCAGGTTTCCGTATAATAATAATGACAAGCTGCATAATAAAAAATCCGAGCTTGAAAATTACATGTCGAAACCAGCTCTATGACGCCCGAGCGCTGTCTACCGAATCTTGTACTAATCTGTTGTTTCTTTAGAGTACAAAAAAATCGCGCTGCAGTTTTCTTAAAAGTGTTCTCTGCCAGCACCAAAGTAATACAAACACTGACTCCAAGGTTAGTAAGTAATCTTCAAGGTTAAGAAGAAATTACTAGCTAACGATTCATGTCGGAGCCGATTTTGGTTTATTCATTCAAATGTTACCTGGTGCCGGAAAGGTCATTACAAGGCTGACCAGCATCAGCAGTCTCAAAAAGCCAACTGTCACTACTGTCATGGCGAGAATAAGTAACTGTACAGGAAAACAAAAATTAGCTATTTGGTGAACGACGTCCACGATCAGTTCGCAATGTTTTCGCGTGTCAAAATATAATACTGATGATGCTATCGCCGCTTGCTTTTATAGTCG